AGTGCTCTATCCTCTTCCTTAACAGCCAACACAATGACCATATTGATATTGTACATTCAAGAAGCAGCAAACTTCTACACCTTAAGACAATTTCTAGAGGAGACAAGTGCAAAGAGATGCTAAGGGGGGAGGGAGACGGACAAACAGAGACAACGATAGAGGGTCCGGGCCTTCCGGTGCAAAAAAGTCGATGTTCTAGGCACATGTCCTCTGTGTTTGTCCGGTGAGCTATAATGTCGGGTCTTAAATCAGTAATAAGTTGTTTTGGTTGGATACTTTGGTATGATTGATTGAGTCTGTGGTTGTTCAAGTTTATTGTTTCTGGGGTTGTTCAAGTTGATTGTTTCTGTGGTTGTTCAAGTTGTTGATTCTGTGGTTGTTCAAGTTGATTGTTTCTGTGGTTGTTCAAGTTGATTGTTTCTGTGGTTGTTCAAGTTGATTGTTTCTGTGGTTGTTCAAGTTGATTGTTTCTGTGGTTGTTCAAGTTGATTGTTTCTGTGGTTGTTCAAGTTGATTGTTTCTGTGGTTGTTCAAGTTGATTGTTTCTGTGGTTGTTCAAGTTGATTGTTTCTGTGGTTGTTCAAGTTGATTGTTTCTGTGGTTGTTCAAGTTGATTGTTTCGGTGGTTGTTCAAGTTGATTGTTTCTGTGGTTGTTCAAGTTTATTGTTTCTGTGGTTGTTCAAGTTGATTGTTTCTGTGGTTGTTCAAGTTTATTGTTTCTGTGGTTGTTCAAGTTGATTGTTTCTGTGGTTGTTCAAGTTGATTGTTTCTGTGGTTGTTCAAGTTGATTGTTTCGGTGGTTGTTCAAGTTGATTGTTTCTGTGGTTGTTCAAGTTGATTGTTAGATTTTTTTAAGGACCCTCCTCCACGATTTCAGGCATGTTAGGCATATACTGACTGACTGACTTTCTACCCCAACAGGACATCACACAAGCGATAAACACCCGATGACAGAAAGTGCCACCATGTGGATGAGGATCGCCGTGGAGAGGTCCCAGAAACCGCGTTCAGACAATTGGCCACATTTATAGGCCTGCCTATATTGCGGCCCCTGGCAAAAGCCAGGACGGGGCTTCAAATAACAAAAAATTTCGTCCTCAAAAGGACGAAACTGGATAATGTACTACAATTAGGCATATAGGGCTACACACCTATATTTTATAGACCAGTCAGCTCTTGGTGGGTGATGATTGGTGGATTTTTTGTTTGGTGGGTATGTTGCTTGCGGCTTTGATTTAGTATGATGGTGGGTTGATCAGTGAAATCTCTGGAGAAAAATGCGTTTTGACCCCCCCCCCCACCCACCCTTTATCTGTCTCTTCCCCCCCCCCCCTTTTTTTAGTCATTGGCTATCAGATATGGTGAGCTATAAAAATTTGCTGGCATTTATTACTCGCTTGATTTGAGACTAGATAGTGACCGTGAGAGCAGCGCCTGACGCGAAGTCTGGTGTTTACCACAAGGAAACGGTGGCGGATCGAGAGGAGATGGGGACGTAGGCGTTTAGTGCTGCGCTGGGGGGAGGGGGGGGGGGGAGTGACAGAACAGCTGTGATTGAAGGATTTGGCGAAATTTCTAGCCGAAATAAATGTTATATTGACATTGTGGAGAACAAACATTGTGTGGGCACATACACAGCCACCCCCCTTCCCACTCTCTCTCTCTCTCTCTCTCTCTCTCTCTCTCTCTCTCTCTCTCTCTCTCTCTCTCTCTCTCTCTCTCTCTCTCTCTCTCTCTCGCTCGCTCACTCTCACTCACACACACGCAGACAAGTAAGGTTGATTTCATTGGACTCGACAATTTTTGTTAACCCCGTCAGTCATGAGCAGTGTTACTTTAACTCATTCTTCCTCTTATTCTTCCTCCTCCCCTTCTTCTTCTTCTTCTTCTTCTTCTTCTTCTTCTTCTACTACTACTACTACTACTACTACTACTACTACTACTACTACTACTACTACTACTACTACTACTACTACTACTACTACTACTACTACTACTACTACTACTACTACTACTACTACTACTACTACTACTACTACTACTACTACTACTACTTCTTCTTTTTTCTCCTCCTCCTTCTTTACCGACTGTAAACACTGGATACAAGTTCTGGTTGTTTCTTCACTTTTGGACTAGTTTTGTCCCAGAACTTGAGTTTTGGGCGCAATTACATTTGACAGATCTGGCGTATTTGTATGCAGACTGTTGGGTCCTCGTCTCTCAAGCAGACGCACTCTGACTTTGAAGCTAAACGGACTCTATTAGTCGCCTCCTGCGAATTGCTGGTTAAGAGGGCAATGGGTCTGTGCTTTGTTTCCACAAAATGGAGTTACGGAAATCACACGGGAAAACTCGATCACTACCAAGCAGTTCACAGTACCCTTGACTTTGAAAATTTTTCGGAGCTTTTTAATGACCCATCCAGTTGTTATACTAGCCCACAGTGCCGTCGACGGTGCCGTTAAACTGGCCCACTGTGCCGTTAAACGGGTCCACTATGCCGTTAAACTGACCCTCTGTGCCGTTACACTGGCCCACTGTGCCGTTACACTGGTCCACTGTGCCGTTACACTGGCCCACTATGCCGTTACACTGGCCCACAGTGCCTTTACACTAGCCCTCTGTGCTGTTACACTGGCCCACAGTGCCGTTACACTGGCCCACAGTGCCGTTACACTGGCCCATCTCTTCTGGAATCTCTCTTTTGTCTATTGCTGGTAAAATCTTTGCTAAAATTCTCCGAAATCATCTTTCAGTGCATCTTGATGAAGACCTCCTGCCTGAGAGCCAGTGTGGCTTTCGAAAAAGAGCGAGGTACCATTGACATGATTTTTGCTGCTCGCCAGCTCCAGGACAAGTGTCAAGAACAAAACTGCGACCTCTATTCTACCCCCATAGACCTCAGTAGAGGAGGACTGTGGAAAAACATGGCTAAATTGGGCTGCCCTCAGAAGTTTATTAGGATTGTACAGCAGTTCCATGAAAGTATGCAGGCCAGAGTACTGCACAAGGGAAAACATTGGGACCCTTTCCCTGTCTCAAATGGGGTAAAGCAGGGACCTGTGCTTGCACTAACCTTGTTCAATATGACATTTGCTGCAATCCTTGTCATGCCTTTGATGATGACGATCCAGGAGTTTCTTTGAATAACCCTACAGATGGCAACTTGTTTAATTTGAGGAGGCTTCAAGCTAACACAAAAACTAAAACAACTACAGTTGGGGAACTTTTATTTGCTGACTAGGGAACTCTAAATTCCAGCTCTGAGGCCAGTATGCAGCGCATCATCAATAGATTTTACCAAGCCTGTACCAGCTTCGGGCTAATCATCAACACTGATAAAACTGTTGTTATCTATCAACCGGCTGACAGAATAAATTACAGCGATCCCACTATCACAAAAGTTAAATGTAGTGGACAGATTCACTTAACTTGACAGTACTCTATCTCAGAGAGTCAACTCCGACAACGAGATCAACATTAGAATCTCAGAGGCCAGAAGCAGTTTCGGCAGACTTTATACCAGTGTCTGGAACATAAGTGGTATCTCCCTGCTGACCAAGCTAAAGGTTTACAAAGCTGTAATTCTTTCAGTACTACTCTACGCTTGTAAAGTGTGGACAGTGTATCAGCACCATGCTAAAAAGTTGAATCAGTTTCATATACCCTGTCTCAGAAAGCTGCTCAAAATCAATGGCAAAATAGGATCCCAGACACTGTGGTTCTTGATAGGGCAAACCTGCCTATCTACAAGACAATACAGAAGATTTATCAGTTGCATTGGCTTGGTCACCTAGCCCGCATACCAGACTATCACCTTCCAAAGAGAGTATTTTATGGTGAGCTCCAGCAAGTTAAAAGGTCCCAGGGAGGACTGAAAAATGTTACGAGGACACTCTCAAAACTGCTCTCAACTCTTTTGGCATCAACACAGTGACATGGGAGGCTGCTGCACAAGACCGTTCTGGATGGTGTACATCCCTCAGGCATGGTGCATCAGCCTGCCAGGCAGCAGAGGTAGCATAGGCAGAGTAACAGAGGCAGACTAGAAATAATTGTACTGCTAATCCCACACTTACTGCGGCTTTCACCTGTTGTCCACACTGCTGAAGAACTTTCCGGGCTCGTATTGGACTAATCTGCCACCTTCATACTCATGATCATTGATCATTGCTACTTTGGATAAAAAGTGGTCTTCATCACTCGTAATAGATGAATAACAATATACATATATATATAAAATTGCATTACTCACATTATTATTAAGCACACAAACAAGGCATAAGCCCCTTTAACTCCCTCTTAGAACATTGCAGTTGTTGCAAGATAATTATCTATTCTTCTAAGATCCAAACATATGTTTAAGCCAGGTAAGCCTTTCTGAAAACAAACCTAGTTAAAGTAACCTCTCATTGGTACGGCAAAAGAGTTTACCCATTCATTCATAGTTAATTAAGAAAAGTATCTGGTGCCATTGTTACTATGTTATATTATTCATTATCATCAGCAATAACATTCTTTTGTGCCTTTATACGTCACATAGGGCTCCCAGTCTAATGCTCAGTTCTGTTTTACCCTATGCAATACTTTAGATATCATGGGTGGAATCCAGTTTGGTTCTGATCTATGCCAGGTGGATTTTGGTAAAATAATTGACCATGGCTGTTAGGTCGACTGAACCTATAATGTGTACCAGGAAATGTCTTGGGAAGCAAAGATGGTTGACATAATTTTTAACACATCGCGCATTGAGGCCTAGCTGGTCTTTACACATACGTGTATACACATCGCCTCTCTTGAGCATTCTGGTCACATTTTATATTGTGTTTAGCACTATACACATTTGAGTGTGATATTTAAAAAAAAATTGATATATTTGCAGATTAAGAGAAAAGTGACTGCCTGAAGCCTGCTACAACGTCCCTTCAGCTGGTAACATCTAAAGAGGCTTGTCAACTTTAACCCAGGCACAGTGTGATCAGCAACAAGAACTGACAGAATGACCAGTTTCAAAGCCCAGCTGCTATGGGACAACATCATGAGGCAGGACCTCTCTGCTGTCCACAGCATGCTTGAGAGTGGGCACATCAACCTGGAGGAAAGAGATGCGGTAAGTAGCTGATATTTATCTTTTTCTTCTTCTTCTTCGCGTTCACCAGCTGTACACTCTAGCGGAAAGTTCTGGTTGCTCGTCCACTACTGTACTGCAGTCCTGCTCCAGAACCTGAGTGTTGCGTGTGCATCTGTTTTACAGATCTCATTCTCTTGAATACACACTGTTGGTTCCTTGCCTCTCCGGCAGATGCGCTCCAACTTCAAAGGAAGCTCCCCAATTAGTCGACTCTTACGACATGCTTTTGGGAAGGCAGTGGGTCTATTCTTGTTTTCCCCACAATGGGGCCCCAGAACCCACACGGGGGAGGGGGGGGGGTGATATTTATGACTAACAGTTTATAAGAGAAGGTACCAGGAAAGAGGAGCAGGAGCCAACCAGTGCAGGGTGTAAGCGACACCTTGGGTAGGAAATTGCACAAGGCGGGAGAGTTGGACGGAGTTTCTTTCAGACAGACCGTGATGAGAGCAACATTCTGCAAAAGACCTGATGGATGTCTTTCAGTTAATGTTGTTTCACTCAGAACACCCAAAAGTTGAGTCAAGAATTGACATCTCAGCACACGGGGCTTTCTCATGTATGCTCCGTCCTCATCTTCAGCAGCCATCGCAGAGTTCCAGTACATAATCTGGTATATGTCCGTCTTGCCTTTACTCTGAGTGTAGTGAGCTGGCCAGACACTCTGGTTACACCTAGATGGACACCCAAAGGTACCCAGGCTCTTTTAGGAAAAATATTAGAAATAAACATAGAAAGTGCGGGAGAGTTGGTTAGAGATGGAGTTTCTTTCAGACAGACCGTGATGAGAGCAACATTTTGCCAAAGACCTGATAGATGTCTTTCACTTGATGCTGTTTCTCTCTGGACACCCAAGATTGACCAGGCTGTCATAGGAAAAATATCAGAAATAAACATGTGGCGACCCGTTGAGGCTGTAAAAATAGTAAATAAAACAAATTAACATTATTGATTGGCACTCATAGAAAGTAGAGGGATAGGAGGACACACTAATCATAAAAATTGGAAGCAGAGAATCGAACCTGTCACCTCCACATGATAACAGTGCCTTACTACAGGAATAACTGTACTTCGAAACATGACCAACTCAGTCAGCTGCCACCAACACTATATTTTATAGGCCAGCCAGCACTCGGTAAGTAATGTGGTCAACAGTACGTTGGTAGCCTTTACTTCCTAGGACCTCACCTCATACCTGTCTAGGCTGGGTCGTCATGGGAGCCATGGTCATTTTTGAAGAAAAGACTGGCTCAGTGAAACTAATTATTCAGATAAAAAGGATTAATATAACGTTTGTCTGTGATAGAAGACAGCAAGAACTTTGTATTATTTTTTGTAATGACCAAGAGACAAGAAAAAGGATCATAATGGAAAACACATTCCATTGATGGGTTCCTAATTTTCTGCTTTCAATGGGATGTCGTTTTTATGTGTGTATGTTTTGTTTTAAAGTGTATTATTCAACATATAATATACAGTTAACAGTATGTTTGTTTCTTTGTATCCTATCTCTGAGGATTTTACTGATATTGACTCAGGAGAGATTTTGTTATTTTTTTGAACTGGTGGAGCCACTTTAGTAAATTGGCCTATCCTCAATTAGTCCTACTCATTTGGCTGTGATGTATGTTGACTCTGGCCTGGCCAGGTTAGGGAAAATAGTTGATGCTATGCCAGTGATTGATGTCATTGTCATCATGTGTGTGTTTGTTTAGAATAGCTGTTGCCTGGGGCATGAGGTGTTGATTGACGAGAGGGTCGTATCTGGGGAACCAAGTCTGTTTGTCTGTCTGGCTAGCTGCTGTCTAGCTAATTGTTTATCTGCAATGCTTGTCTGTCTGTCTGTCTGTAGCTTTTTTGCTGCCTGATTCTCTGGCTAACTGCTGTCTGCCTGCCTGCATTCCCAGTGTCTCTGTGTCTGGCTGTTTGGCTGCCTTCTGGCCAGCTGTCTACCTGTCTGGCTTCCTGTCTGTCCAGCTGTACCTTCCCTGCTGCACACCTTGTAGCTTCCCAGCTGCCTGCCTGGCTGACTGATGTCTGTCCAACTGCCTGCCTGCAGTGCTGGTCATCATGCCTGTCTGTCGCCCTGACTGTCTCGCTGCCTGTCTGTGTGGTTGTAGTTCCCCCACTACCTGCCTGGTTTACTGCTGTTTGTCTAATTGCTGCCTGCCTGACTGCTGCCTGTCTGTCTGACTACCTGCTGGCTAACTGCCTGCACGCAATGCTTGTCTTCCTGACTTTCTGACTGACTACCTCTCTTCTGCCATGCCTGTATGTTTGTCTGTCCTCCTGCTGGCCTGCCTGTCTGACTACCTGCCTGTTGTACATGTATCTTTGTTTGTACACTTGTTTGCTTATACAATGAATATTTCTCTTCCACATTTAGAATGGTTGCACATTTTTGATGGTTGCAAGTGAACAAGGGGCACTAAGTATTGTCAGAGAGCTGCTACAGGCTGGAGTTGACCCAAATGCTGTTGATAATGTGAGTGAAGCAATACCAGAAAACATAATTATTTATGTTTGTAATGATTTTTCTTTCACTGCAACCCATTCTGAGCACTGAGTATAAGTCTGTTAACAATGATATACCTATAACCAGTGGGGACAATTTACTAACCTAGGCCTAATCTCAGTCCGTCTGTGTGCGGGTGTGCTATATTAAGTGATGATTTCCCTCTGTGAGTTCCCATTTATAAAAGTTAGGGTTGTTCCCTTTGAAGTCAGAATGCGTCTGCCTGAGAGCCAAGGAACCAACAGTCTATATACAAGTAAACCATATCTGTAACACTGATGTGTGTGCTGAACTCAAGTTCTGAAACAAGACTCAAGTCCAGAATTGGATAAACAACCATAATTTTTCACCAAAGTTTAAAGCCAGTAAGAAGAAGAAAAAGAAGGATGTTGTTGACATTTTGTTGTGATTTCCAGTACCAGTCTCGCACAGGCTACTGGTTTATGAACTTAAGAGATGGCAAGGAGAGATGCTGCTTACTTTGGTACTGGATCTGGAGACAATTTTCGACACTATCCTCACACAGATAGATGCAAGCTGTTTTTCAGGGCTTGGATAACTTGAATAGAGTATCAGACCTAAAACTCAGCTCTCCAGGGAGGTCACCAGCCACCTTTTTATTGTGGCACTAGTCTGTCCTGAAAGCCATGGTAGCACAATGTCTAGATGCTTGTCTGGGAGGTGCTGAACCGCGTATGGTGGTGCATCTGGACCAGGACTGATACTGGTCAAGCCAGACCTTTCTACACTCCTGTGCGGTCATACGAAAAGCAGGCATTTGCATTTGCTTGAGAGGCAAGGAATTGATGGTGTGCATACAAAGAAAACCAGATCTGTAAATTGGATGTACATGCTAAACTGCTGTGCTGGACCTAGACCAATGTCCAAAAGTGGTTGAAAAATCAGGAACTGCTGCTGGAGTTTACAGCTAATGAAGGAACAGAAGAAGGAGGAAAAGACAAAGATCTTTGCCTGCTGTGATAAAAGACTGTCAGGAATATTTTCATATTGTTTTCATCAATCTCTCTTTCCCTAAATCTTTCAAGTTGTCACAATTTGTGTCACCTTTTTCCCTTCTTATAACTCCTGTTACTGCCTGTAATATTAACTTTTTAGTGCGGTGTATGACAAGGAGGTCGTGAGCCTGAGCATTTAAAGCTGCATGACTAGTGCAGTCACAACAAACTGCTGGTTAGGATTGTTATTGTTGCCTCTAACAGAAGAAATCTCCATCTGTTACTAAAGATCGACTGCCTGGGTCTTCCATATGAGAGCCCTGCATTCTAATCACTCAGCCAATTCTTCCTCTAATCTCTTCTCTTAATATGATCTAACAAATTTGGTGCTTTATCAATATCCTACCCCAAATAAGGGAAATCCACAGGTCATGGGACAGTTTAATATTTCAGAGAGTGGTATATAGGCTTCATGCAATCATGGCACCTTGGCTGCAGGCATTCGTGGGATGTAGGTGGGTTGGGGTTAGGGCCAGTTCTAGATGTTTTGTGGTTGTTAAAAGCATCAGAAAACCGGGAAGCCCAGTCTTACCATCCTCTAAAATGTTGAACTGTCCTGTGACATCATCTGGGGTAAGATATTAATAAAGAACCAGAATATTCTTTTTTAAGCTTCTTGAACTAGCACATTGTACATTGAGAGTTAAATGTAAATCTTTTGCTCTGCAGGACAACTGGAATGCTTTACTGTGTGCCAGCAAGGAGGGACATTTGGAGGTGGTCATGGAACTCTTGGATAGGAGTGTGGACATTGAGCATGCAGACATGGTATCAGTAGATTGCTTTTTCTGCCTTTCTGTTTCATTGGTGCATTATACTAAAATATCTGGTTGTATGTTTATTACTGAGAATACTGAGTGGGTAATGAACAGGCAGACAGATTGGCTGGATCTGCACCAGTGGGTGATGAATTGGTACATGACAAGGCAGATGTGGTCAAGGCCCTTTGGGAACAAGCAACGGAATCAGTAGAGAAAGAAGATTATTATGGCCTGGTGAGAATGAGGCACCTGGGTGTAACCAGAGGGTCTGGCCAGCTCACTACACTCAGAGGAAAGGCAAATCGGACATCTAACCAGATTGTGACCGGCACCATCAGTATTGGAACTCTGCGCTGGCTGCTGAAGATGAGGACGGAGCATGCATGCAAATGCCCCGAGTGCTTTGATGTCAGTTCTTGACTCAACTCAGCTCAACTCTACTAAGAATAATTTTTTGTTTGTTTGAAGCAGAGGTGCTTAACTGCACATTCCAAGACCAAGGCTGCTACTTATCAAGATCTCTCTACAGATCTATCCACACCTCTTTGTGGTCATCCTGGAGACAGGTTTCCTACTAGGGGCTTGACCCAGTGTAAAGTGAATCAACATTTCCTTTAAAATTAAGAGTACATTTGCCCGAGTGGCAAGTAACCAACACTGTGCACACAAATAGGCCAGATCTATAAAATGGACATGCACACAAAACTCATGTTCTTGAAAAAGGCCATAATCCAGAAGTGGGCAAAAAACCAAAACTTGCTGCTGGAGTTTACAGCCTGTGGACACTAAGAAGATGAGGGAGAAAACAGATGAACCATAACCAGAATGATGTTATTTTTATAGCTGAAGTATTGGACTGAATGCTGTTTATAAAACATGCAAAATGTTTCGATACATTTATAAGCAGTATCATTTTTAAAGGTTGAAATGTAGGAAAACGTGGGGATGCTGAAGCTAGAGTAGAGCAGAATGTTAGCTGGGATTGCATGCCCAGTTCTTAATCCTTTGAGAATAAAGTTTAATTTGTTGTGTGTGGCTTATTTATGGTCATAATAAAGAATCATTAAATCGATCAGGAAACCACCAGCCCCAGCACAAGACGACTATTTTATTATGGACAGACCAGAACAAGTCATTATCTTCCGCCTCAGAACAGGGCACAACCGATTACGTAACCACATGTACACAAAATTCAAGATAGGTGTATCAGCCATGTGCACCTGTGGAAATGTGCCCCAGACCGCAGAGCATGTACTCCAGGACTGCACCGAATTTGACACATTAAGGCAAACCTTTTGGCCAGAAAGAACAACAGTGGAACGTAAACTCTATGGACCACTGAATGAACTAACAACGACAGTGAAATTTATACAAGAGACAAAACTGCTGATATAGATAACTTATTTCAGGCGAACGAAAGAAGAAGAAGAAGATGGTCATAATTTGAAGTGCTGATATATTTATTAATAATATCTTCTAAATCCTGTTTGACGTTAACACAACAGTTCTACTGTGGTGTACTTTTCTGTCCTGTGTAGATAGGGGAGTGTTGATTTGCTGCCTTATGCCTTTGTACCGAGCTAGTCCTGAAGTGGGTACAGCCCAGTCTGGCATAACTTGCAGCCCTGTGCAGTTATGGGTTGGGAGAATAATATTGGGGAGTGTTTACTCCATATTCTATTTGAATATGAAAGACAGAATAAGAAGAGCTTTGTTTTCTTCTTCTTTGTAAAGGTTAGGGTAAGGGTAAACCTCATGCTAGTAAAACCTCATGCTAGTAAAACATCATGCTGTTAAACCTCATGCTGTTAAACCTCATGCTAGTAAAACCCTATGCTAGTAAAACCTTATGCTAGTAAAACCTCATGCTAATAAAACCTTATGCTAGTAAAACTTCATGCTAGTAAAACATTGAAAGAATTCAATCTGGTTAACTGATTGTATTCCTCCCCAGTGTGGATGGACACCATTGATGTGGGCTTGCTATAAAGGACACACCTATGTTGCCGGTGAGCTGTTGGACAGGGGGGCTAATCCAAATGTCAAAGCTGACGTAAGTATAACATAGGGAGATAACTACCTGGTACGTCAGTTAATTTTATATTGTATAATAACATTTAATGTATAAATCTAAATATTTTAATGAAAGTTTTGTTAATTAGGTATGTTATTAACTCTTTCAGTGTGTCACATGTGAAAGAAAAAATTGACAAAAGTGTCTAGCATCTATTCTCTCCATTAATATTGATGGCGACTAATGTGCTTATGGAGAATCAGGTTAGTTGCATAGCCTTTACAGGACGTTGCAGAACCAGCATCAACATGTTGCGTGGTTTTTCTAGGCAAATTTACATCCAGTAGTTTGCCATTGTTTTCTGGACAGTCAGCTTTCTTGATACCACTGTCGAAACCAACGCAAGGCGCATGGCCAGCAGCTGGGATCGAACCTGGCATTACGAAGTGTTCGCATGGACTTAGCCACAGAGCCGGCTTATGAAGAATAAAGAACATATATTGGCAGTGTGTGTGTGTGTTTGTGTGTAAAGATCCTTTTTCCACGCCTTCAGGTGTATTGGAAATATAGGACTAGACCAATATTTGTATAGACCAATCGGCACCTGGTGGGTGATGTGGTCAGAACTTCCAAGGATTGCACCGGGTACCCACTCAAGGCTGGGTCAACCTGGCAGTCAAGGTCATTTTTGAAAAAAGTCCGGCTCTATCAGGACGCGAACCCACAACCTTCTGATCTGCAGATGGGCCTCTAGCCACTAGATAACGGCGACTCCCATATTGGTAGTGAACAGCAGCTATAGAATGAACAAAAATTTAAAAATCGTTCAGTGCATAAAGAAGACTATCAGAAAGGGATGTGTACTGTTCGCTGAATTGTTTTTATTATGCAGTTAGCATAAAATAAGATTTGTAGAAAATGTGCTAGGGATTACAGTTGGTGGTCGTAATGTAAATAACTTGCGTAGTGGCTAGATATTCATCTCCCAATCCAAAGGTAGAAGGTTCAAATTCTCATCAAGGTAGTACAGGGCAATATTGGTACCTTTCTGAGTGATTATCATACAACTTTTCTGGAATATCTGGTTAAAATGTTCCAATGTCTTTGTTTGACTAGTCTGTATGTGTACTGAATCACTTTACCGCCCTCTATTGCTACGTGTTGTCTGTTCAAAGTGCTCAGAACTGATACAGTCTTGCACACAGATGACTACAGCTCAAGATGTCACAAACAGGTTTCCCAGTATAGTTTCATGAAGCTTAATTACATTTATGGATTAGTCAACATCAGTCTTGGATATGCTGATGACATTGATATCGTTGGAGAAAAGGAACTGGAGACTGTTGAAAACACTGACTCTCTTAAAAGAATCAGCTCAGAAATTGGGACTAGTTATCAATCAAGGTAAGACAGAATACATGATAATAACTAGACAGGGAAATGATATAAACTCCGGCCACATACAAGTCGATAATAAGAAAATAAAACAAATGGAAACATATAAGTACTTGGGTGCAAACTTCAACTGCTCCAACATGCTGTGAGAAGAAATACAATCTAGAATACAATCTGGAAATAAAGTAAACAATGCCCTTCAACACCTGCTAAAGTCAAAGTGTCTATCTCGCAAGATCATGATCAAAATATATAAAACGTTGATAAGACCAGTCGTTTTATATGGCTCTGAAACTTGGAGCACAACTTAAAGAAATGAAGCCTTATTACAGGTTTTCGAAAACAGTCTTACGACGAATCTTAGGACCCATCAAAGATCCAAACAGCAGAGAATGGAGAGTGAGAAGCAACAACAAAATTCATAATCTGTTTAAATCACCATTGATCACTGGCATCATGAGAGCTAATAGACTGAAATGGTTGGAGCATATTGAGAGAATGTCAGTTGACAGAGAAGTGAAAACTGTATACACAAGGGAGATGAATGGTCGTAGACCACGAGGCAGACCAAGAAGACAATGTGGAGAGATAATGTCCAGACAGACCTGCAAACACTTGGTGGCACCAACTGGAAAGAGAAGGCTAACCAGAGAGATGAATGGAGGCAGGTGATATCTGCAGCAGTGAACCTCAAGGGCTCGAAATGCTGAAGGAGAAGAAGAACATAAATCTTCCAGTCTTCCATCTAGAACTTTATGCATCATACATAGATAGAGAGTTAACCGTAGTTACAAATGACACAACACGTGCTGTCGGATGTTGAATCTTTCCCACCCTAGAACTCACTTTGGCTGGCTGGCCACACTGTCAGCATTGAGACTTGCATCGCACACATCATCACTGTGGGACTAGTCAGCACGCTAAACCATGTACACTGGACATGATAACATCACCCAAGTCCATTTAACCAAAAGCCTTCTTCATTCTTTCTCACCAGCTTTTATACAAGACATTATCTCCAGTGGTATTCAATACAACAATTCACTCTTACACAAATTTCCTGTGTCCCTTTCATTCAACAACCATTTCCTGTGTTATTCTATTTATTCATAACTCTCTCGTCTCTTGACCTCTTCCCCATGTTATTTTATTTTTATCCAGGGGTTTCATCTTCTTAATCAAGAGAATTAAATGGTTTTCTTCACCTCATATAATAATATGAACTTTGGACCATTACACTGTATGAAACCAGTCTGTATATGATGAAAGAAGTAAAGGGGAAAGATTGTAATAATACAAACTGTTCAGACTATATTATTTATGAATAAAATCTCATCTTGTTGTCCTGTATACATAGAAAGCAAGCATCATCTTTATTATTAAGCTTCTGTTGTTTAGGCTGATGCTTATAAAGTAACATTGGCTCCTAGGTAAACTCAGCCTAAAATGTTAAAAAGATTATTTCCTGGGCAGTAAAGGCGGCTTTCATGATGCTGACCACATCACCCATCGAGCGCTGATTGGTCTGTAAAATATAGGTCTAGCCCTATATGCCCTGTCAGCGTCTGTGGCTTAGGCGTTGCAAAGGAGCTTTTTAATGCCAGGGTGCCGGGTTCAATCCCAGCTGCGGGCCTTGTGCGTCTTGCGTTGGTTTCAACAGTTGTATGGAGAAGCCGACCATCCAGAAAGCAATGGCAAACTACTGGATGTAAAATTTGCCTAGAAGACCACAACAGCCAAAAAATGCTGGGGTTGGTTCTGCAGTGTCCTGTAAAGGACAGGCAACTAACTTAACAAACCATATTCCCAAATCAGTGACATGATAAGGATTCTTTATTATATTCTTCTCATTTTTGTTGTTTGCTGTTGAGGCCTCACTGTATAAAAGTAAAGGACCATTTTCCACATTGCTAGGCATATAGGGCTAGACCAGTATTTTATAGATCAACCGGCACTCGGTGGGTGATGTGGTCAACATCACACCAGCTGCCTTTATATCCCAGGACTTGTCCGGCTCGCTAGCTCACTTGGTTAAACCAGCCTGCATGGTGACAAACTCCTTGTGGTCTGAGTTTGCTCGGGGGTAGGCAGAAAAGCCATTATTTCCCACATTTACAATATCTATCATGGAATCGAGGCTAAAGGGTTGTGATATCCATAGTACCGAACCAAAAGGTTTACAACTCATGGTTTCTGGATCAGTTTAAACAGAACAAAATCCTAGGACTTTGTCTGTTACTCATTTTGGGGTAGGTTGACCTTGCAGCAAAGGTTATGTCTGGAAATAATTCTGCTTGATGCCGATAACATTTGGGCCTGAGGCTAGTATCTAGCCGCTTCACCACAGCTGCATCCCTCACCATGTGATTGAGTATATATATTAGTTTTAAAACCCTTGTGTATATCGTTGAGACCTTACCCGTAATCGTGTTGTATATGTTTGATTTAAAACCTTTGTGTTTATTGGTGAATCTGCACCTGTGATTGTGTATATATTTGATTTAAAGCCTTTATGTTTATTGTTGAGACCTCACCATGTGGTTGTGTACATATTTGATTGAAATCCTTAGTTTTTGTTGTTGAAACTTCACCCAGTGATTGTGTATGTATTTAATTAAAAACTGTTGTTTTTATTGTTGAGACCTCACCATGTGATCGTGTATATACTCAGTTAAAAACCGTTGTCTTTATTGTTGAGAATTCACCATGTGATCGTGTATATACTCAGTTAAAAACCGTTGTCTTAATTGTTGAGACCTCAACATGTGATCGTGTATATACTCAGTTAGAAACCGTTGTCTTTATTGTTGACACTTCACCATGTGATCGTGTATATACTCAGTTAAAAATCGTTGTCTTTATTGTTGAGACCTCACCATGTGATCTTGTATATACTCAGTTAAAAACCGTTGTCTTTATTGTTGAGACCTCACCATGTGATCGTGTACATACTCAGTTAGAAACCGTTGTCTTTATTGTTGAGACCTCACCATGTGATCATGTATATACTCAGTTAAAAACCGTAGTTAAAAAACCGTTGTCTTTATTGTTAACACTTCACCATGTGATCGTGTATATACTCAGTTAAAAAACCGTTGTCTTTATTGTTGACACTTCACCATGTGATCGTGTATATACTCAGTTAAAAAACCGTTGTCTTTATTGTTAACACTTCACCATGTGATCGTGTATATACTCAGTTAAAAAACCGTTGTCTTTATTGTTAACACTTCACCATGTGATCGTGTATATACTCAGTTAAAAACTGTTGTCTTTATTGTTGACACTTCACCATGTGATCGTGTATATACTCAGTTAAAAACCGTTGTCTTTATTGTTAACACTTCACCATGTGATCGTGTATATACTCAGTTAAAAACCGTTGTCTTTATTGCTGACACTTCACTATGTGATCGTGTATATACTCAGTTAAAAACCGTTGTCTTTATTGTTAACACTTCACCATGTGATCATGTATATACTCAGTTAAAAACCGTTGTCTTTATTGTTAACACTTCACCATGTGATCGTGTATATACTCAGTTAAAAAACCGTTGTCTTTATTGTTGACACTTCACCATGTGATCGTGTATATACTCAGTTAAAAACTGTTGTCTTTATTGTTGACACTTCACCATGTGATCGTGTATATACTCAGTTAAATACCGTTGTCTTTATTGTTGACACTTCACCATGTGATCGTGTATATACTCAGTTAAAAACTGTTGTCTTTATTGTTGACACTTCACCATGTGATCGTGTATATACTCAATTAAAAAAAACGTCTTTATTGTTGAGACCTCACCATGTGATCGTGTATATACCCAGTTAAAAACCGTTGTCTTTATTGTTAACACTTCACCATGTGATCGTGTATATACTCAGTTAAAAAACCGTTGTCTTTATTGCTCTGAACAGCACAACATGACATGTCTGGCTTGGGCTGCGGGAAGAGGACACACAGAAATCGTAAAGATGCTTATTGATAAGGGTGCAAAGGTCAACATGCCTGATAAGGTAAGATTGTCACCGTGGTTTTTTCCCCCACTTCTCAGTCTTCAAAGACTCAAATGACTGGGACAGCCTAGAGGGTGAAGGATGTTAGAATCCTAAGAGATAACCTCTTTGGTAAATTACAAATGAAGAAAGATGACTAGGCTGTATTGACTGTGTTGAAACCTTTGAATTGATTTATTTCTGCTATCATGAAATACTGCATAATCTTATTTATATATGATGTATCATTATCATGTGCCATGCCAATAAGCTAAGGCTGTCATGTTTTGTCATCTCGCAGGGTCGTCAAAACCATGGATCATGTCAGTGTTCTTGTCTCGGCTCCATCCATATGGCTGATCCGTCCAGTTATTGATCTCTTTTCCTTTCCCTTGCTCTCTTTCCATCAGTTACCAAGGTCTGGAGTCCATTACTTCTTATAACATGTACGGAAAACACCAGCATATAGACTTGTTAGTTCTTGAGTCATCACTATCCCCATGTGGGTTCTGTGGCCCTATTCTCGAGGGCTTGGGGGCATTAGACATACTGCCCCCTAAACAAGCATGTTGTACTAATTATGGGCTACTAATTATAGGATTTTTTTCCCATGTGAGTTCCAGGGCCCTATTATAGGGAAAACAAGAATAGACCCACTGCCTACCCAATCTAACAAGAAGGGACCAGGCCACCATCTTCAGACTTAGAACGCAACATACTCCACTCAATGGACACCTAAACAGAATACAGCCACAACACACCCCAGAGTGCCAGCTATGTAACTACCCCTACGAAACTGTTGAACACCATCTCCTTGAGTGCCCAGAACTCAGGGAGACAAGAAGAATGCTACTCCCTCCGAGACCAGACAAGTGGAACACCTTGTACAGAGGAAAAGAACAGCTTGTGAAAACATGCAAATTCCACTACATGGCATTGGGCCAAAGGGCGAAAGCTCATGCGCCGCTGGATCGATAACAACAACAACAATATATATATATATTCAACAATATATATATTGTTGTTGTTGTTATCGATCCAGCGGCACATGAGCTTTCGCCCTTTGGCCCAATGCCATGTAGTGGAATATATATATATATATGTATATATGTTTATTATTTATAAGAAAAATAAGAAGAGAATCACCACTAAATTTCTCTCATTCTGCTACAGTATATTATGTCACTGTATAAGAGTTTTGTGTACTTGAATGTTACAGTATGGGACTACACCCCTCATCTGGGCATGCAGAAAAGGTCACACGGAAATAGTGGATGCTCTCATTGGGGAGGGGGCCAACGTCGATGTGGCAGGAATGGTGAGTAGTCATGAAAACCTTGAGTTGTTTCTGGTGTGATAGCTGTTAAACTTCTTGCACCGGAAAGCCTTTGAGGTTTATGCAGAATTTGAGGAACTGAAAAATTATTTAAAATGCACCTTTCACTAATAAATTAGTAAAAATATCTAGGTAAAAGTATGACTATTCATATGTAAGAGATAAAAAACGAATAAAACTCGTGTATCTTCAAATATTTTGTGGCACCCCTATGAAGAGGTTGCGGCTACCTCGGGCGCTGCAGCGCACAGTTTGGGAATCACTGCTTTAACTAGTGTTTAGCTTTAATAATAATATAAAATATCCCTTGATATTTGTGTTACTCCATTTATGACAGTTATGCTTTCACACACTGTTTATGTTCATTGAGTTTATTGTTATCTTGAAATTGTCCTGCTGAATGTTCTGGTGCTCAAAGAATTAAGAATAATCTAATATTATGTGTATCACTGACAAGTCAATGTCTTTGGCTTAGGCATTGCGACTGTGCTTCGTAATGCCCTAGTGCTGGGATCGATCCCAGCTGCAGATGATTTGTTTTACATTGGTTTCAACAGTGGTACCTAGAGCTGACCGTTCAGAAGCAATGGCAAACTGCTGAATGTAAAATTTGCCTAGAAAAACCTGAGCAGCCAAAATGTGCTGGGGCTGGTTCTGCAACGTCCTGTAAAGGATATGCCAACTAAATGACAAGATGTTACTGCTGCTGTTCTCTGCATTCTTCTCCCTTTATTTTCTTCTGCCCTTCTATCTCCCATGGTAGCATATGCCCTTACCCAACTCACACCAAGCCATCATATCCTTGGCTGTTGCTTACACCTCACCCCACGTTTTCCTCATCTCTTTCAGGTCCTTCGTTAATTCTCTGGGAGAATGGTGTCGCAGCTAGATGCTAGCTGCAGATCCAAAGTCATGGATTCAAATCCAGATGGGAGCTGAACTTTTTTTCCACGAATTTCCTTGTCTCCCAGGTCAGCCTAGCCTTAAATGGGTGCTAGGTAAAAGTTCTGGGAAGTAAAGGCGGCCGAAATGATGCTAACCAACCACATTACCTATCAAGTGCCGAGTGGCCTATAAAATTTAGGTCTAGCCTTGTATTCCCAACATGCGTGAAAAAAGGTCTTTCACATCACTTATTTTCCTCTACATGGGTTTCTTGATTTGGCTTTATTCCTGTAGCCCTGTGGATTCCGGTTCATGGACATTTTATTTATATTGTCAACAGATTTTCTCAATGTGTGTGTGTTCTATCCAATGCCAACATCTTTAACTCACCTCTTGATTCACATGAATTTATTTAGTTCTGTCTGAAAGCTCAGTATTTGTGGTTCTGTTATATAATTTAATTTTCTCTGTTCTGCACAGGAACCACATATTAAATGTTTGTAGTTTATGCATGTTTCAGTTTGGTCTTCTGGTCAGACTGAAACAAAATCAGCCAACAGCCAAAGCGCACTACATGTGAACAACAGACTACAATGCAGAAGGCTGACTAGAAAAGAGTTTGGTGGAGGATTTGACAGAAACGCAACATGACATTAACACAAGCTAAGCAACTAGCAGAAGACAGGAAACTGTCTTGAATGTTGAATTAAGAATCGACATCACAGCACTCAGGACATGCCATAATTGCTCTGTCCCCATCTTGAGCAGCAAGCGAAGAGTTCCAATTCCAATGGCACCAGCAACTATCAGATTGTATATCCATCTCGCTTTTCCCTTGAGCATCAGCCAGATCCCCTGGTAACTCTTCAGACCGTAATTATCTGTTTGTACCTCTGCACTGTTCTCTCGCTTCCAAAGGGGCCTCATAACATCTAGCTTGCATAAATTAGTTCACCACCAAGTGTTGCAGAACTGGCCAGTCTATCTGCTTATCTGACAAAGGAAGAAGTATTTTTAGTTTTTCTCTATGTTCAGCTAAATACAGCGGTACTGACTTCACATTGAAGTTAAATAACCCAAGTGTGGTTTTATGATTGTAAAACCGCTTGCAGTTATTATTTTCATGATGAAATCTGATAGATTTATCTCTTGTCTTACCCAGAATTCATGGACACCATTGCTGGTGGCCACAAAGGGAGGCCACTTTGATTGTGTACGATCTGTTCTTAGCCAGGACCCAAATGTTAATGCCACAGACAAAGTAAGAGAACTTTCATATTCATTTTAGATTTATGTTTCTGTTACATAAAACACATTCAGTAAAGTAAATTACAATGAAGCTTAATGGAAAAGTATGTTTGCCGAATTGAAAATGCTAACAGTGGGAAAGTATGAGATTTTAGTGCATATTCATCTCCATTCCAATTCCCTGTTTCATATGAACTTTAGGTTAATTCTTAAACTTCTGGGGCCTCGCTATAACCGTATGGTTAAACGCGAATTACCAGGATTTGTACGTGTGGGATTCTCATCCTTGAGGTGTTAATCCTGCAGACTGTAATCCAGAGGGAACAGACTACCTACCTACCCCCCGCCCACCTTTCCCCTAGCTCCGTGCTACCAGCTGCAGACATTGTCATTCACAATAAAAATTATGAATTAAAATGTGAATTACAATAGTGAAGTTCATACGAGAGACAGTATTGCAGAAATAGATAATCTATTTTAAGCGAACGAAAGAAGAAAAAGAAGACAACCAAAACAGAGAAGAAAATCAGCAGCAAAGGCAATGAGATGTCTGACTGAGAAAGGATGCAGAAGTAACCAGAAGAGATCAAACTAAGAGTGAGTGCATAAAATAAAAAGTCAACATGGAACCAATGATAAAATGCATACGTTCACTTGAAATAAATTATCTATATCTGCAATGCTGTCTCTAGAATAAACTTCACAGTCTTTTGTAATTCACTAAGCAGCCTGTAAAGTTTGGCTCCCACCAGTGTCTCTCTTGGCCAGAAGTTTTGCCTGGAAATGTTGTATTTGGGCAACACCCCCCCCCCCCTCCCCCCAAAATGGTTTGTCCTTCTTGTGTGAGTTCCGGGGGCCATTTTGGGAGTAAAAAGAATAGACTCTTTGCCTCCCTAACAAGCATATAAAATAAAACCACTAATTAGGGGAATTTCATTTGAAGTCGGAGGGTATCTGGCTGAAAAAGGAGAACCTACAGATCTGTAACTGTAGTAAAATGGATGTACATTCAAAACTCAAGACCTGGAAACAAGGCCAAAGTCCAGAAGTGGACGAAAGACCAGATTTTTTCATATGGGTCAACGGCTCGTGAACGCTGAGAAGAAGAAGAAGAAGAAGAAATGGTTTGTCCTCTTGTGTGTTTAGTCTTCTTCTGCAGTTTGTCAGTGAAGATTTTCTGTGCTAATATGGCACTGACAATCTTGTTATAAGTAATGAACAAAAACAGACTAACTAGAAGGCTCAGTGACTGGAAGGTAAAAGACATGCACAAAATACATTTGAACGTTTAACTCATCAAGGGTTTATTAACATACAAAACAAAAGGCATTAAACAAGTGACAAGGTTGAAGTGGGACAGGAGAAAATATGGACAGGAAGAGCTTTTGTGAAACAAAACATACAAGAAAGAGCTGGTAGAGGAGGGGGTGATGTAAAAATTAAAATTTAATTATGTTTAAAGTTAAGCCTACACTGATACCAATATTATATACTGTACTGAGATTTTGTTCTTGTCTGGTCTGTGGGAGAAGATTATTTAAGGAGATGTCTGTGTGAATTTGGAGCCGTAGTATCATAGGAGCTAAAATGCTTGCCTATTGGTTCATGAGTATTGGGTTAAACCCATTTAGCTGTCCCAGTGTGGGTTCCGGGGCCCCATTGTGGGAGAAACAAGAATAGACTCAGTGCCTCCCCAACAGGCATGTTTTTCAGAGTCAACTAATTGAGAGCTTCCTTTGAAGCAGGAGTGCATCTTCCCGAGTGGCAACAGATGTACACCCTTAGGCTCTGGCAAAAAGGCAAAGTCCAAATGGACGAACAACCAGGACTTTCCGCTGGTGCTTACAGACGGTGAACAAAGAAGAAGAAATCCATTGTATTACAACGTTATGTAAAATACTTGCTGTTTTTTGTTTGTTGTGTGTACTTTTTAGGATTTTTTTTTAATTTTAATTATTCTCTGCGAAATTAAAGTAATTCAACAAACCAGTCCAGATGATAAACATGAGTTGTGATGATAAATATGAGTTGTGATGATAAATATGAGTTGTGATGATAAATATGAGTTGTGATGATAAACATGAGTTGTGATGATAAACATGAGTGAGTTGTGATGATAAACATGAGTTGTGATGGTAAACATGAGTTGAGTTGTGATGATAAACATGAGTGAGTTGTGATGATAAACATAAGTTGTGATGATAAACATGAGTGAGTTGTGATGATAAACATGAGTTGTGATGATAAACATGAGTGAGTTGTGATGATAAACATGAGTTGAGTTGTGATGATAAATATGAGTTGTGATGATAAACATGAGTTGAGTTGTGATGATAAACATGAGTTGAGTTGTGATGATAAACATAAGTTGTGATGATAAATATGAGTTGTGATGATAAACATGAGTTGTGATGATAAACATGAGTTGTGATGATAAACATGAGTTGAGTTGTGATGATAACATGAGTTGAGTTGTGATGATAAACATGAGTTGTGATGAGCTTGGTAATAAGTGATCTTTTGATTCTCTCTGATCAGGATGGTTTGACATCTTTAGCAATTGCAGCAAGGGAAGGCTACTTTGAGATTGTGAATGATCTTCTGAGCAAGGGAGCCTATGTCAATTTAGCTGACAAAGTAAGTTGCATTTGGTTTATGAGAATCCATCTCCAGTTCATGCAGACAAAAACAGTCAAATACATAGGTTCAGGACAGATTGTGAATGAAAAGAGAGTTACTAAAACAAATAAAAAAGAAAGAGATTATTGAAATATTTTGGCCACATTAAAAGACATAATACACTGTAAAAAACGTCATGGAGGGAAAAGTCGAGTGCAAAAGAGCAAGATGTAGACACCGATTCTAGTGGGAGGATAACATCAAGTGATGGACGAGCAGCGGTCTGAGAGAGTGTACAACCAGGACATAAGATAAAGCATGTTGGAGATCCATTACAGTCAATCTTATTTGTGGAGATGTCACCTGATTGTTTGTTGGATTTTGTTCCAGTCTCCTTTTGCTCAAACTCCTCCATGTTTTCTCGCTCACCTCTGCCAGTTCTCTTTCTTTCTCTCTTTAAAGAATAAGTATATTATTAACAACTCTAAAACAATGGAGTCTCAGGTGGGCAGAGGTTAGCATGGTTGTCTGTTGGTTCGGTGGTCATGAGTTTAAATCACCATTAATGTGAATTCTTTCAGTGACCTGGATCTCAAGGTCCATTCAGACAGTACTTTTGTTTTTAACTCACCCCGAAATAAAAGAAATCCTGGAGTTCCTGAAAAAGTCAAGTATTCTAGGTGTGTTGTGGATTAGGGTTAGCATAAGGGTTAGAGTTAGTCGATGTGTCTGAGGCAGTCAGGGCTAGCAAATATCTTAACTCTAACCCCAACCTATAACACCCCTAGACCATTGAACTCCTGGATATCCTTTGTTTGGCGTGAATTAAAAATAAAGTACCCATCCAGTCTATAAATGAGTCCTAACAAATGTTCAGGCAGTAGAGTTGGTTGGTGTGATATGGATCTAATCATCCATCAATGACCATTTGAGGCTGTGAAGTGGACTCTCTGTTTCTTATATTGTAATCAGTTCTCTTCAAAGAGTTGGTTTCAAACAGAATATCTTCTTTAACTCCTTTTGTCAGTCTATGCTGTTCCCACCATTTGTCACATTACTACCAGATAACTGGAAACTGATTTGCTAGGTTCAGTTATTTATTTCCATATGTCAGGATTCTTCTTCTTTATCTTCTTCTGCATTTCATTTTCCAATATTGGGTAGATCCTCAACCAACTTATCACACTAGGCCCTTTGTTCACAACTTGGTACTGTTTTACATCTGGAGCATTCTGCAGGATGATGTAACCAGTTTCACCCCAACCCTTCTTAGTTGCTTCTCGTGAATTGCTTAAATGTACTGTACTTTCCAGTACTACTGTTCTTTGCTTCCCATATGGGCCGTGGCAACATGTCAGCAATATGTGGAAATTAGCTCAATGTCTTCTTTTTCTGCATTTCCCCTTAAAACAGTTGTTGGCCCTTTGTGTGGTCAATATATTTCTGTGATGACTTACAAAATGTAAATAACCCCCTTTCCCCCCTCCCCTGCCCCCTCAAACAATTATTTCTTTTCTTGTTAGTTTGTATTTGTTCCCATATGTATTTGTTGATTTTGGACGTCTCTCTGAGTTATTGTTATTAGTTTGTTTCGAATTTTGTAGATGTACATCTGTTGTGATATAATTGCTGTGTTTATGTTTCAGAATGGTGACACGATTTTAATTCATGCTGTAAAGGGTGGTCATGTGGACATTGTGAGGGCTTTGTTGAAGAAGTATGTGGATGTTGATGTGCCTGGACAGGTAGGAATTTGTGCAGATTAGTTTTTTTTTTCTTATATGGAGCCATCATGGTGAAGCGCTTAGCGGCTTGCCTGCAGATCCAAAGGTCATGGTTTCAAATCTGTATAGAGTCAGATTTTTTCACATATGACCTTGGCTTCCACGTTGACCCAACCTTAAATAGGTACCAGGTCAAGTCCTGATAAGTAAAGGTGGCTGGCGCCACTGGCATGTAAAGGGACCTTTGCTATGCTTTTATGATGGTTCTTTCTTTGAAGTCGGAGTGCATCTGCCTTAGAGGCAAGGAACCAACAGTCTGCATACAAATTAGTCAGATCTGTCAAATGGATGCACATGCAATACTCAGGTTCTGTAACAGGACTGCAGTCCAGAAGTGGATGAACAACCAGAACTTTCTGCCAGAGTTTACAGCTGGTGAACGTGAAGAAAAAGAAGATAATGGTTCTTTCTGCAGATGAAATTTTAGTTGATCAGTACTGGGTGAAATCAAGAAAAGTGAAGAAACCAGAGAAAAGTCCAGACAACTGCTGGCATCATTAGAAGATGGCAGTATATTGGGCACATCATGAGGAGAAGTAGAGAATCACCAGGCAGGCGCTAAAATGGGAAACAGATGGAATCAGAAATTTGAATGTCCAAAAGAAACCCTAAGATAAGCATTGATGAGTGAGGCCTATTTTGTGGACTGGAATCCATCCATGATATGGACAAATTGCATCGTATAAAATAGAATGGATGACTAGACTTTGAGCTCGATATGACATAAAACACATGGTAGGATGATGATGAAAAAAAGACACAAAGATAGTGGTTTATTGTTGAAGGGTCTGTAATTCGGAATAAAATAAACACCGAAATGAGGAATAAATGAATTGAGGAAGCAAGGACAAGAAACTGTGATGAATATTAAGAAGGTCAGAGGTGCCACACTCTATTTAAAGGAACCTTTTCCACGCCATCAGACGTAATGGACGTATAGGGCTAGAACTATATTTTTATAGACCAATTGGCACTTGGTAAGGTATGTGATTATCATCATGCTGGCGGACTTTATTTCCCAGGACTGTACCTGGTAAGGCTGGGTCAACCTGAAAGCCAAGGTCATTTTTGAAAAAAAAAAAATAAAAACAATACGGCTCCATTAGGACCCGAACCTACAACATTCAGATCCACACAGGCAACCATAGCCGCTACACCGTGCAGCCTACCCATCACATTCTTTTCCATTCACCAGTGTTTCCCAAACTTTTCTTGGTCGTGGAGCCTTTTTTCATTTAACATTTTTCCACGGCGCCCTAACCTAAGTAAAAGTGTGATTATTCATGTCTTAGTTCAATTAATTATAAAGCTTTTACAATATTTCGTGGCTCCCCTGTGAAGAGGTCGCTGTTTCTGGGGCAATGCGCTCACAGTTTGGGAATCACTGCTATATACGATATTAAAATAATGGAACAGGATAGAACAGAAAATAAGAACTGACTGTGATTCCCTATGCTGATTCACCTTACGGAGTTTGTGCTCTGCATGATGCTCTTGACAGACAGCCAGTCACTCTCCATAGAGAAACCTGGCGAGATGGGTGAGGGGAGTTCAAGTGAAAACCTTACATGTGTGATAGAGATTACAATAGCCAAGCCACTGTCTTGTAACCTGTCAGTATTGTTGTTAAGGATGTCAAGAGGCTGGTGATGCATACCTGTCAGTCTAGCATGTATGTGAGTGAAGTAGGAAGTTTCATAATGGCATGGCTTTTTTGTAACAGACTGTTAATGACCTGCTCATGCATGCTGAGCCTTGACCACAGAGTCGACTGCAGCCATTTTAACTCCTTGAGTACCAGAAGGTTTTACTGGAGATTCCCATAGTATAAATAACCAATTGGAAAAACCACTAGTGTATTGTTTTCAAAGATGCTAAATACTAGGAAAGCCAGATTTTCTTAAAATACAGTGACCAGCTATGAGAAAAACTTGAACATAATACATGTTGAGTGCTAATTACACATCACATGTAGTTTTGGACGGAAATTTCTGCTCCACTCATGAACTTACTGGACTGACGTGCATGCAACACTATCCTGAAACTGGATTTCCCGATGAATTTTTGTAGGTTACACCACTTCACTGATTAAAACAAATGGATAATGGAACGCTGCTTCTCACGAGTTGCTTGGTACTGAATGAGTTAAAGTTATCATTTCAAGCCCCATCTTAATGAAAGGTGGTGCAGTAAAGCATATTGTCTCACCTTAATTCATTCTCTAATCATCCTTTTGTGTGTGGTTATCCTTGACTGTGCTTGCGTTTAAGGATTTGTCTTATTCTGACCAGGATGGGAAGACAGCCTTATACACAGCAGTTGAGAAGGGCTACACAGAGATTGTCCGACTTCTGCTTCAGAGTAACCCAGACCTGGAGCTCGCCACAAAGGTAATGATGCTTACTGTACAATAATTATTGAAGTGAGAGTGGTAGTAGCCTGTTTCCTTGAAAATATGTCTTCTTCATCATCTTCTTCTCCTCATCGTCCTCCTCCTCTTCTTCTTCTTCTTCTTCTTCTCCTCCTCCCTCTCCTCCCCCTCCTCCTCCTCCTCCTCCTCCGCGACCGCGGGCTTTTAGTATCAAATTTTGAAGAGGCATTCGGTGAGAGTCTCAGTATATGTTATGCAGATGCTGGTAGTTACGGACTCAAATATTCCATCCATCGCTAACGTGGTCGACCTCTAGCTCTGCTCTTTTTAATGCCTGAGTTACAGGGCTCTCTTTATTGCACGATTTGATGGTAGTCTTGACACATGTCCAAACTCTTTGATCTGTTGTATTTTGAAATATTTTAGCAGTGGTTTTGTCTAAACTTATTTCCTGATATAGTCATTTTTGACCCTCTCTCTTCTAGGATTCATCGTAGACCTGAAAACAATCAACAGACCTTTTTTAAGCCCTTAGAGGTATTGGGTATGCAGGGCTAGATCTATGTTTTATAGACCAATCAGCACTAGGTGGGCGATGTGGTCAAAATTGTGGTGGCCACCTTTACTCTTCTGACAACTTAAGCTGGTATCAGTTTTAGGCTCGGTCGAGCTGGGATCCAAAGTCAGTTTTGAAAAAAAAAAAATCTGACTTGATGCGGATTTAAACCCATGACCTTTGGGCCTGCAGCCTAGTGCCTAGTGCTATGCCACAGTGGCTCCCTCCTGAAAATGAGACCTAACCCAAAAATAAGCCCTAGCCAGATTTTAAAGTTGGTTGTAATATAAGCCCTATCCTGAATATTAGCTGTGGTTGAGATCTCAGCCTTTCGGTATGGGTTCCAGGGCTCTTTTATGGAGAGGAAAAGAGAATAGACCCACTGCCTCCCTAGCAAGCATGTTGTAAAAGCCCAACTGGTTGCGGGTGTTTCCTTTAAAGTCATAGTGAATCTGCCAAAGAGGCTAGGAACCAACAGTCTGCCTATAAATACGCAGATATGTAAAACATATGTTTTTGAAGAGAAGTATATTTTTCTTCTTGAATAAAAGTAGACCTGAAAAGAAAAAAAAAAGACATCTAAGTCGTCTTTTTGAACACAGATACTATAAAACATCTTATTTTTGAGGGAACATGGTAGTATAAACTCAGTCACGGAGCAAGCACAGAAGGAGGCTCCTGAAACACACCCCTCCCCCCACTTCCCACAAAGTTGCAGCTTCACTGCCATCATGCCTTTGCCTTCTTTGGCATGTTTTTAAATTTGACTGGGTTCCAATTTCTTTGCGGTTACTACATCCCAAATCTCCGTCGAAACCTCCACTATCACATCTTGCTGAGGATTCTCTCTTTTTTCTTGTTAGTGTTCTGCTGTTTTAAGAAATTTTTTTGTTGTTAACTTCAGAATATGTAAAAAGAGTGACTTGATTGTATTTCAGGATGATGATACTCCTCTACTGAGAGCAGTCCGCATGAGGAATGAAGAATGTGTGCGGTTGTTACTGGAGAAAGGAGCTAAAGTGTCAGCAAGTGATAAGGTAATATTTGTACATTTGTTGCCGTGAGTCAATCTGTCTCCACAGTGAAGGGCTAGCTGCAATGAATCTCCAACATGCTCTTTCTTTTGCCCCGGCTGCAGATTCACTCGGGCTGCTGTTCATCCATCTCTTGATGTTATCATCCTGTCTGCCTCATGCTCGCTTGCCTTCAACTTTTCCCTCCATGTTTTTTTTTTTAATCCAGAAAAATTCTTAGAACACCATAGAACAGGAAGAGGAAAAACATGGGTGTCCTGAATGATCTGGGCATGGAGGAGAATTGGCTCATAAGCAGCATCTTGTCCCGAAAGCCGCGGAATTTTGGTGATGTTAAATGTCATGGTGGCTTGAAGAGAGCGGTGACGCAAGGTACAGTTCCAGAGGCAGACCTCTGCCAAGATGCATTGACTATGACACCACATAGGGCTGGAGAATTGGCTAGAGAAAAAGAAAACTTTCAGGTTTCCAGTGACAAGAACAGCATTCTATAAAGGACCTTAAAATGGATGATGGTGATAATGATAGTTTTTTTTAAGAAAGTTTAAAAAAAAAATATGGCTGAGGTATTTAACTTGTCTCTGTGTTTTTCCTTTAGAAACTTTCATTTCATTCCTAGTCGCTTCAAAACCTGTTTAAAAAAAAAAAACATGAAATACAACCTCTTCTTCTAAGATGTTAGTGATGATGCTTGTTATTATCATTATTATTATTATTATTATTATTATTACTATCTTCTAACACAATGTGTGCATAAATAATGTATGCATGGCGTGAGGCCAGAAGGGCAGAATGTAAGACGGGCCTGTGTGCCCAATTCTTAACCCTTTGAAAATAAAGTTTGTTTGTTCGTTCGTTCGTTCGTTCGTTCGTTCGTTCATTCTCCACATCGCCAATTTTCTAATTGTGTGTTCATTGACTAGGTTGCTGCACCATACATCAGGGTTGAGTTTACACAACATTTGACAGTTCTCAGAGGTGCAGCTCTCTAGCTTAGAGGTTAGCGAATGGGGTTAATGGTTTCATGATCCTCAAGTACGAGGGTTCATTCCTAGTGGTGGATGGTTTAAAAAAAAGAAAAAAAAACACCAAAAAAAAACACTGTTCTCATGTTTTTTTTTAACCGTGGTACAAGAGTTGCACCATGGAAGAGAGTGGGTTCATTCCCAATAGTGGATGATTAAAAAAAAACAACATTGTTTTCATGTTCTCACTATATATTTATATTGTCTCCCTTCTGTTTGTTGTATGAGGCAGAGCCCTGTGAAGTAAAGTAAAGGCGGCTGGCGTGATGTTGACCACATCACGCCTAGAGGGTGGTTTGTTTGGTCTATAAAATGATGAGCCTAGTTTTATATTCCCGATGTACCACTGGCATGTCAAGGGACTTTTCTCACTCTCTTTGTCCTGTGCGATGCTGATGAATGTGTTGAAGGATGAATCTGAGCACCTATGAATGTGTCCGGAGTGCTGTGAGGATAATCAGACTCATAACAGGTAACTCTGTCTGTCTTTAATCTTTCTCCCAACGCTCTTTACCCCCACGCTGCTCAGATATCAGAGCCAACAAAACAAGAATAATCCTTCTTTGTGTAAAGTCCACCTCCAGTTGTTATAACAGACAATAATTCAGTACATTTTATCCATATTTTTTTAGCCTGTTTATTTTTTGTAAATATGTCATTCCAGAGAGGGGACACAGCCTTGCATATCGCAATCCGTGCCAGAAGCAAACGGATCACAGAGCTCTTGCTTCGGAATCCCAGACACAGTCGCCTGTTGTACAGACTGAATAAAGCGGGAGAGTCTCCGTACAGTATGGATACTTATCACCAACGGGGCATTCTCCCGCAGATCTACGGGCATGGTGTGTTTTCTTTCATTTTTAATTTGTTAACTTGTCAGAAAGTCGCTTTAAAAAAAAAAAGGCATCACATATTGACTTTGTATAAAACTGAGGTGACCAGTTAAAATAAATAGCCAGATTTTTTTCTTCTGTGTCAACGACTGTAGCTGCAAACACACTTCATAATTAGGAGGTGCCAGGTTTGATCCCAGCTGCAGGTGATTTGACAGCACACCACCTTGTGTTGGTTTTGACGGTGGTGTCGAGAGCAAACCATTCAGCAAACTGAAAGTAGAATTGTCTAGTAAAATCACAAACAGTCACACAATGCTAAGCTTATTTGTGTGTCCTAGGACACACAGCTGACTTTTTTCCCCCCCTACTTCTTCTCTATGTGTCATGAAAAAGGCGGTTGACACATTGTGTTGTGGTTGACACAGCAAGGCTGCTGAGATATCTGCGCCTTTCAACCCGGTAATCTGATTTCAGCAAAATCCTAATCACTTGTTTTTTTACAACATGCTTGTTGGGAATAATGTCCGCAAGGATGCGTACATCACTGCCTAGCTGTAAACATAAAAAAAAGTAAAGATCCCTTTTCACGTCTTTAGGCACTTTGGGTACATTGGAAGAGCACCCATATTTTTACAGACCAATCGACACTGGGTGGGTAATGTAGTCAGCATTACCCCGCCGTCTTTACTTCCCCAGGACATACATCCTAATACCCATTTTAGGCTGGGTCAAACTGATGATACAACATCGCCAACTGCCATTTTAAGAAAATGTACAAACAACAACAAAAATGATAACTTTCTCATCTTTGCATTCTGCTATGTTGATCCTATAGGTAACCTCAACGCCACCGATGCAGAAAACCTGCTGGGATATGATATTTACAGTTCGGCTCTTGCAGACATTCTCAGTGAACCCTGTCTGATAACACCGATAACTATGGGCCTGTATGCCAAGTGGGGTAGTGGAAAGTCATTCCTGCTGGACAAACTAAGAGGTGTTTTTTTTTAATTTTTTTAAATATTAAATTTATGTCTATTTATTTGTCACACTTAAGGTTTGAGGTTTGAACAACGGATCAACATCATGGCACATGGGTAGTCACCCATAAGTGCTCCGTTCTTCTTTTAGCTCAAGTCTGAGTCCGAAGAAGCTCAGCACAGTGGACAGGCTCTGTAGCACCGGGAAGGATCCTGAAATACTTTGGATAGATTTTTAACTCCAAATTTTGCCCTGGCAGCGTTGCAAGTCTACTCTTTTTTTACGTGCGCAACAATGCACACGGGCTTCCGATCTCACTAAACAGAGACAAGGGGGATTACTAGAAATTCAAGCCGTCATGAAGAAATCCCAACCCTTACCGGGGATTGAACCTGGCACCTCCAGCACTAGAGGTGGACACCATGCCTCAAGATCACGCAACTCCCATTGTTTCACTTAACTCATTCAGCACCGGTAAACTCTATAGATTTTTAGTTTTTATTTTACATTTATGAGCTAAAGTAGTATCTTATTATCATACACTGAATCAAAGAAACACTTGCTGGTATTGAAAGTGTTAAATATAAAAAATATAAATATAAACAATATGTTAAAATATATCGCTCTCTTCCCAAATTATTTGAAGAAGGGAATAATTGTTAAAATTCCAAAGAACGGTAATCTTCTTGACTAACAACTGGAGAGGAATTACTCTGTTATCAATACTGTCCAAGACTTTTTGTAATATATTTTCAAATAGAATTAAAGAGGTAGTGGAGTTGAGTTGAGTCAAGAATTGACATCACAGCACTGGGGGCATTCCCATGCATGCTCCCTCCTCATCTTCAGCAGCCAGCACAGAGTTCCAATGCTGATGGTACCGGTCACAATCTGGTTATATGTCCGTCTTGTCTTTCCTTTGTGTGGCGGCCAGACCCTCCAGTTACACCTCAGTGAGGAACAAATAGGTTTTCGACCTCTGAAAGTTATAGAATTGCTAAAGTCAGGGAGCAGAAATTGAATGCATTTGAAAAGAAATCCCTGAGGAAAATGTTAAACACAAATGTCTGTACAATCACATGTAACAACAGTTATTAGACAAAGATAATGGTGCTATATTGAACACTTCCTGAAAAGAAACGAGCAAAGAATTACCAAACAGGCACTGTAGTGGGAAATAGAGGGACCAAGGAGGGGAGAATACCCAAAAGAAACTCTAAAATGAATGTCGCTGAGAAAGGCCAAAGGTGCTGGACTGGATTCCATCCATGATATTGACTTGATTCCATCCATGATATTGACTTGATTGCAGAGGATAGAACGGAATGGACAGTTTTACTGTGAGCACATTATGGCACAACAAGATAATAAATGAATTAATGAATATTTTAAATAACAAAATAAACACCGCAATGACAAAGGACAATGTGATTTGTATATTTCAGTCGAAAGGATTCATTTTCATGCTCCATTATATATTGGTGTTAATTCTGTAGAACACACCTGATGAGACGCAAAATACATGGCAGTAAAATGTGCAATATTGTGTTGCGTTCTCCTTATTGAAATAATTTTTTAACTAGACATATTCTCATTCTGCAGTGGAGATGTGATTGATAATAATGAAAATCAGAGTACTTAGCGGGAAAAAACAAGAAGATGACAAAGAAAAAATAATTGGATGGCGCTACCTTTGTCTCCTTTATCCTCCAATTACGCCATGAAATGAATATATAAAATACCATACACTGCAGTGGTTTCAGTCAAAAGAATTCATTTTCATATATCATTATCTATTTGTTTTAATTCTGTAGAATGCAACTGGGAGATGCAGCAAAATATCCCAGGCATTAAATTGTTCAGTAAATCATTGCGTGTCTTCCATTGATTGACACCTTCCCGTCTTTCAAGACAATAGGTTAAACTGAGTTATGAGGAGGCATGGGGCTTACAGCCCATGGCGATGGTGAGTGTGACTAGCAAGACCCGCCCGCCTTAAGAAAAGTCCTCCACAGTTATAGCATGGGATTTCATAGCATGGGATTTCATAGCGTGGGATTTCCTGTGTCCTCCGTATTTAAATAAATATTGAACAGGGCATATTCTCTCCTTCTGCAGTGGAGATGAACTCCTTCACGCAGCAGAACATCCAGGCAGAGCTGGCATTCTCATGGCTGCTGGCCATCCTTCTGGTGCTGATGAACTCCGTGATTGGTGAGGCCATGGGACTGGCATTGAGCTGGCAGATCGGCTTAGGGATTGGGCTTGGTTTGTTGCCTGTGGAGTATGGATTTATAGGTGAGTACAGACCATGTGATCCCTTTGTGGGATGCAATTTTTCGTTACTTGAAGCCCTACTCTGGCTCTTGCCAGGGGCCGCAAAATAGCCCGGCCATAAATATGGTCTAATGACTGAACGCGGTTTTCGGGACCTCTCCACGGGTGATCCTCATCCACATGGTGGCACTTTGTGTCATTGGGTGTTAATCGCTTGTGTGATGTCCTGGTGGGGTCAAAGAAGATAGATAGAAAGAGATGTGATTTGCTGTCTGTCTATATGTCTGCTTCTGTTTGTATCTGTTTTCAATTGTGTGTGTCATTCTCTTTCTCTCTGTCTTCTGTTTGTATCTGTTTTCAATTGTGTATGTCATTCTCTTTCTCTCTGTCTGTTTTCATGTGTATGTGTCTATGTCTTTATATCTGTCTTTCCCAAGATAAAGAAAGAAGCCGCGGACATGAAGATTATGAAACAAAAAATGTTAAGATGAATGCTAATTGGTTTATAAAACATAGGTGCCCGTCTCTCTAGCATAGTTGGCTAAACCGGATTGCGCGGTGAGCGGGTGACGCACTCCTTGTGGTCCGGGTTCACTCCCAGTGGTGGGCAGAAAAGCTACATTTCTCCCAGATTTACGGTATTTAAAATGGAATCAAGGCCCAAAGGTTGCGATATCCATAATACCGAGCCTAAGGGTTAACAACTCATGGCTTCTGGATACTAAAACAAACAAACAATAAAACATAGGTCTAGCACTGTATGCCCAATACGCCTGAAAGTATGCAAAAGGGGTCCTTTCCTTTTAATAATAAAAATAAAAATATTGTCTCCAGTTAGGTATTTCTGGTTCCATGTTGACTTTGTCAGTTGTTGCAATATCTGTGCCTTTGAACTCAAGTTATCTGCTTTTAGCAAACTTCCAGTTAGTCACTTTGTCGCCCTTAATGACCTGCTTATTGCGGGGGGGGGGGGGGGGGGGGGGGGAATGTAGGCCCTGGGAACCACACTGAGGCTATTAATATTATCATTGACTCGAATGGATTAAAATTGATTCAGCTTTTTATTCTTTGATGCATTTATTTTGTCTTTATTGTGCAATGGCTTTTTTTGTATTTCATTTTCTCAGGTATGATTATCTTCATCACCGCGAAGTACGATTTTGCAGCCATTAACCGAATTAGTGCAACCCTGGGCAGGAGGCAGAAGTTACTTACACTACTTCTGAAAATGCTTTTCTGTATACCAAAACATAAGCAGTTGGCGGATAAGCAGTCTGCAGCTACATTCTCTGTCAGGTGATTATTTTTTTTTTTTTTTAAACTGTTTAAACTGGCAGACGCTCAACACTCAGGGGAAGGATGAGACGGATATACAATCAGACAGTTACTGGTACCATGGGAATTGGAACTCTTAGCTTGCTGCTAAAGATGGGGACTGAGCACTTTTGGGAGTATCCTGAGTGCTGTGATGTCGATTCTTAATTCAACATTCAACTGTTTACTGATTAAAGAATCAACATCACCAGACATACCCAGCGGCAAATGTTTTAAAATGTAGATGAGTTCTTCCTTTAATACGTCCCTCCTTGCTGGATCCACTCTCATTCATGTTCCTACATTCTTACACATTTTATTTCATCTCATGTCCTCTGTCAACACTTGTTCATCGTTACTCTTCGGAATACCTCCTTTTTTTTCAATACAAGTGTACCTGTAGCTATCGCTTTTGTAGCAACAACAAAAATCTGCTCTTTATTTTCTTCCCACTCGTGCATATTCCTGACAGTATATCCTTGTGAGTGCCTGTAATGTCGGTAGCTTGATAGCCACTAATAACTCATTCGATACCAAGCAACTAAAACAATTAGTAGCCTGTCCTTACCATGATGTTGCAGAACCAATCCCAGCATTTTGGGCTCATTGTGGTTTTACTAGGCAGTTCAACTTTCATTAGTTTGCCAGTCCTTTCTGGGCGGTCAGCTCTCGATACCATTGTCAAAATCATTGCAAGCTGTCCGCTGTTAAATCGTCTGCAGCTGGAATTGAACCAAGTATCTCAACATTACAAACTGTATTGCACTGCCCAAACCACAGGCCCCACCGAGCAACTCACAGTATATTATTTATTTAAACTATTATGATATAATCATCTTCATGTTGAAGACCCTCTACAAAACGAGCTTCCATATCATCCCTTGCCAGCTTCCCCTGCCTCATACATTTTTCTACCCAAAGGGTCTTATATTCTTCTGTGCCCGGTTCTCTTGCTGGTTGGCCACTGCCTCTCCTTCTTGGTAACATGTTCCCCACTATTGATCTTTCTGAACCATTGTGATGTTTGGCCTCACCGGAAAGGTCATGTGTAATGAGCATACTTTGGATCTTTTCTCCAGGCTATGCCGGCATGGTGGGTAATGAACAGGCAAACAGATTGGCTGGATCTGCACCACTGGGTGGTGAATTGATACATGATAAGGCAGATGTGGTCAAAGCCCTTTGGGAACAAGCAACAGAATCTGTAGAGATAGGAGATTATTATAGCCTGGAGAGTATGAGGCATCTGGGTGTAACCAGAAGGCCAGCTCTCTACACTCAGAGGAAAGGCAAGACGGACATAAACCAGATTGTGACCCGTACCATCAGTATTGGAACTCTGTGCTGGCTGCTGAAGATGAGGATGGAGCATGCGTGAGAAAAGCCCGGGTGCTGTGATATCAGTTCTTGACTCAACTTAACTCAACTATGATGTTTGATCTGGCCAAAATAGCAGAGACTTTACAGACTCTCGTTCCCATCACAGTCCGTCTGAAAGAGACTCAGTCTCTCACCAGCTTCCCCTGCCTCATACACTTTCCTATCCATGGTGTCTCTTATGTCCTGTGCCCAGCTTCTGTGCTGGTTCGTCCCTTCCTCTTCTTTTTGATACCGGGCTGTTCACTACTGAATTTTCCAAACCATTGTAAAGTTTGACAGGGCAGACCCTTTACAGTCCATTGTTTCCATCACAAACCGTCTGAAAGAAACTCAGTCCCTTACCAGCTTCCCCCTCCTTTTTGCACTTTCAACCCCAAGGTGTCTCTTATGTCTTGTTAAAGTCAAGAGGAACGACTTTATTGCACTGGATTTTATCATATATGGCTCAGTCCCTCTCTGCAGAATGGCTGGCCGCCTGCCGAAAGTGCAGCACGGAGCACAAACTCTGTAGCTCCGACGACGATCCCCAGGAATCTCTATAAAAATTGCACTCGTGAAATGAACGGGGCAGCCTTGAAATGAACCCACGACCTTCAGAACCCAAGGTAAATGGCTTGACCACTCCGCCACGGAGACCCCCAATAATGTCCTGTATACTTCCCCAGCTAGGTTGGCCCCTGCCATACTTCTGTCTCCCAGTTACTTTTCTTCTTATTGATTTACTGATTTAAGAATCAGCATTATAGCACAACGTACATACCCATCTCCCACAGCAGATCTCTTATGATGTAGATGCTAACTGTTCCTGTGGCACACTGACACACAGTTACTGTTTGATATTATAGTATACTTTTATGAAATAACTCATTCTGAACTAAGCCACAGTATGTGTTTATTTGTCTAAATGAACATGATATACTCTTCTCAAACTCATTGTGACCCATACATTTGTTATACTAACTCACAGTGTGTTTACTTGTCTCAACAAACATGATTTACTTTTCTCAGACTCATTGTGACCATTTACGTTTGTTATACTAACTCACTCTGCCTCAAATCTTACTTTGTATGTTATGTTGTTATTTTATTATGTTATGTTTATCACAATTGATGTTAGGCATTCCCATGAGTGATCAGTCCTCTGATACAACAGCCTCTCCAAGGTACCTCTACTAATTGTTCCTATGATAAAATGGTTATAATGTCTCCTATCTCAGTCTCGGGGGCATAGACGTGCTTCACCGTGATTTACTCCCTTGACACACAATCATGTTAGTGTCAGAGATTTGTTATTATCCACTAACCTAGTCGGCACAGTAATGATGATGTCTGCTCTGTCCATGCTTCTCCCACGTGTATTGATGCATCGCTTGCCAGTTGATCCGTTCGTTCATTACCTTTCGTACCGTCATAGTTATGTGTTTAGATCCTAGTGAGGGAGACTAAGGCAATCTCCAAATGCTTTCTACCGACTCAGAACGCATGCTGCCTGTTGATGGTCCTAATTTAACACCATCTTTCCAATACTGTTATTATTTTCTTCTGTGTTCACAGTTAAAAGGGCAGTTTGCCTGTTGTTGGTAAACTTTTGTTAACTCATATTTTGTCTCCTTTTTCCCCAGATTTCTATTCTCAGATTGCACTCGCCTAACTAGTGTTGGAGGTGAAAAATCTCTGGCGGCTATGATTGGAACTCTCTGTGATGCCGTTGAGAGGGAGTATGGGATATTGATAGCCAGACTTTTTAGAGTGTTCAAGCCACACCATGGCAGTAAGTCTTATTGGCATTTTATGCTGTTTCACATCCTGTTTCAGGCTTTTGCCTGAGAGCTTGGTTTGGTTAACATCTTTCAGGACATAAGTACATTGTTTCACCTATTTGTACAAGGTTTGTTGCCAGCATAGAAAAACCAAAGTACAACAGCATTTCACTGTAGGTACTCATGTTTGTAGTACATGACCAGCAGGGAAACTCTTTAAGTGTCTGTTTCCTTTCCCTACTTCTATAAGTGCTAATCAGTATGGATGAATTATTTGGTCTTGTTCTATGAATTTCCACATAAGTTTCCCAACAATCTACATTCCTATGTACATTTTAAGTAAGAAGTTAAATATTCTTCTTCTTCTTATTTGTTTACCCTTGAAAGGGTGGTTGGCACATTGTTTTATGGTTTACAGCTAGGCTGCGATATCTGCCCCTTTCAACCCAACATATTCATTTTCAGTAAATCCCTTATTAGTCATGTTTTACAACATGCTTGTTGAGGTATCAGAGGCCCACACCCCAGCCCCTCTCAAAATGGGCCCCTGGAACGCACGTGGGGAAGGTAAGGGATTCTATATGAAAGCCAGAGGTTAACATTTTGAAGATTAGATGAGAGCAAAATGTGAAAAACAAATACCTTTGATATGAGAGTGAAGGTAGAGGCAGACACCGCATTGTTTCTGGGATACTTTTGAGTCTACATTATAAAAATCAATTTTTATACCTGCCCCATAGTTAATGTATTTCTCCTGAGTTCTTCAGCTAACAGTTAAACTGTTTTCCTTGCACTCTCATGGTCATGTGCTTGTTTCAGCCTGCGCTGTTTGCTTCACAGTTGCAGTTTTGTACAGAGATCTCTGGGGGTTATCACTGGAGCTACAGTAGGCAGCTAACTTTTTTACAGAGAGAAACTGAGCCTTTAGAAGATAAAACTCAGTGCAAAAAAGTAGATCCTCCTGTCTTTTAGCCTTGTTTTTTTCTTTCTCATGGCCACATAATTAAGTATACTGGGCTCTCATGCGGAAGACACAGGTTCAAATCTTTACAAACTGTGAATCTTTTTTTCTCTTGGGCAGAAATACAATTCTGACATTTGCAGTCCATGACGGCAACACTAGCCGTGGGGCCCTAAACCCATAGGCTCAAAGACACCTACACCACAAAGTTTGTAAATATAGTCAGTAAATAAAAACACCAGTGCAAGCCAAACGTTACTGGTCGCTGATTGAATTACAACAGACAGTGAAGTTCATACAGAGACAACAGTGCAGAAATAGATAATCTATTTCAAGCAAACAAAAGAAAAAGAAGAAGAATTCAGTAATGGCTGTTTTTATGTATTTCTCATGCCAAGACACACACAAAAATGTCAGATTTGTTAGCTAATCAGTAAACATTATTTTACGAAATATCTTTTTTTTTTTTTTTTTTTTTGAAACAGAAACCAGAAACACCCCCTTCAAATCAGTTTGCTGTATACCATATTTTTTCATCGTCCTCCTCCTGCTTGCTGGCACTCAAGTGGGCGTTGGTTTGGCCATTGGCTACGGCCTGGAGGAGAGCATGGTTGTGGATGGGGTGTTGATTGCTTTGGCCAGCATTGTGGGTCTGGCTGTGGTGGCCAATATGTACACCTGGGGTCAAGCTTTGATGGCGCTAGTGTTCTCCCAGAGAAGACGGGTGACCAGGTCGGCAGAGCATATTGATGATCTCAAGATGGACGGGTTCATGCAGCATCTGAAAAGAGAGGTATAGTTTAAAAAAAAAAATGAAAATTGTATCTTGTGTGAGGAAATGCAAGATAAGAAAGGCAGTGGAAGACAGAAAGATATGTGGGGAAAGCTTAACTAACTGGGTAACTAACAGTAATTTATACAGGACATTCTTAAAGTCCATGCCGTGCGGCATTGGTAATCATGTCTATCCATAACCTTCTGTCCCATGTACTTTCTCAAGATGGACGGGTTCATGCAGCATCTGAAAAGAGAGGTATAGTTAAAAAAAAAAAATGAAAATTGTATCTTGTGTGAGGAAATGCAAGATAAGAAAGGCAGTGGAAGACAGAAAGATATGTGGGGAAAGCTTAACTAACTGGGTAACTAACAGTAATTTATACAGGACATTCTTAAAGTCCATGCCGTGCGGCATTGGTAATCATGTCTATCCATAACCTTCTGTCCCATGTACTTTCAGTCAGCTGTGACACAGATGATCCTTCATGCCATGATGTCAAACTGTCCAGCATCTTTTCTCTTAACCTCCCTCTTCCTCTCTTCTCCTCCAACTTTCCTATTATCATGATGTACTCCTGTTTTCTCCCAGCTGATGTGGGCAGTCAGTTGTCTTTGTGAGTCAGTTTCTTTCAAGACGTCCTTATTATTCTTTTTATTTGTCTAGGGTATTCTCATCATTTGTCTGTAAAACCATATCTCAGCAGCTTCCAAATAATTTTCACTAATATACCAAAAGTCCGTGATCCACTTCCATATATCGATAGGATTTATATAGCTTTTGAAAATTCTCTTTCTTGGCTCAATTGACAAAGAAGAAGTGTAAAAAATATTCTTCATTTTGCAAAATTCTGCACACATAAGACATACAAGACCAGCCTCGTCATAATACCAAAGAAAATGATCTGAGTTGAATGGGCCAGGTTAGCCTTGCTGGGCGAGTGGTCTCTATGCAAACTATTGCTGCTAAATAACTCTTTCAATCCGAAACAATGTGTGATGTGTAATTAGCACTCCTGTGAATCCCACTCAACATGTAATATGATCTAGTCCCTTTCATAGCTGGTCACGGTATTTTAAGAAATCTGGCTTCCCTAGTATTTAGCGTCTTTGAAAACAATACACTGGGGGTTTTTCCCCATTCATTATTTATACAAATGGGAATCTCTGTTAAACCTTCGGGTACTCAAGGAGTTAATATTCTTTAATCGGTCAGCCAGTCAGTCAGGTGCCATCTCCACAATGAAAGTTGGTTTTAGTGGATTTCCAACACATTTTGTCCAGTGTCTTGAAGTACACTCTCTTAAATTGCTGTTCATCTAGCGTTTGATGTTGTCCTCCCTTTTGTATTGCTGTGTACCACTTGTTCTCTTGCCTTTGACTTTTCTCTCCACTTAAGTTATTAAAATATTGGTGTCTTTTAATGTGGTTGAAATATTTAAATTGTTTTGTTTTAAATTTCTTTCAGTAACACTTTTTTCATTTCCAGTCTTTCCAGAACTTCTCTGTTTTGATTGAAATTCAACCTATTCTTTTGTGTATTTACATCTCCACAGACTCAATTCCATTTTCTAGTTTCTTGTTCATTGTCCAGGTTTCTGCCCCATACATTCATCTTCTTTTATCTGTGAAAAGCTTTACTGTTGTAAAGCTTTTGAAATATAAACAGTTGGAACACAAAGTTCAAGCCATGTTTACATATTTGCAACAACATAAAATAAACAGGGATGGTTCTGCAGTGAGCATTCATCGATATTTTTTTTTAAAAACTTTTTTTCTCCTCCTTCTTCTTCCGCCTTTCAGCATCAGGCTTTGAAGAGTCATCGGTGCGAGTCTTGGTATATGATACATAGATGCTGATATTTAAGGCCTCAGATGTTACATCTATCCATCGCTTGCATGGTCGACCTCTAGCTCTGCTTAAATTATCTCTAAGTGACAGGGCTCTCTGTAGTGCACTATCTGGGGGTATTTAAAAAAAAAAAGCAGAATGCATAGTAGCAGGATAGAGTGGCAGGGGCTAATCAGCACAAAAATGGGCACAGGATGTAAGTGACTCCTTGGGTGGGAAAGTGCCTGAGGTGGGTGATCTGGCCAAGTTTCTTTCAGACAGGCTGTGTTGAGAGCCATGTTCTGCAAAGTACAGGCTACTTGATGATGTAACTTTCATCCTCTTCAGTGAAAGCGACGTGTATAAGTTATTATGTAGGATTTGCTTCCAGTGGGTTCACATGACAGTGACCTGTAAGCTAACCATTCAACCAGCTGCTGATACAAGTGTTTGACCGATAAAATAATGGAAGTTTTTGTATGCACTTTGTCAGGTGGATCTTATGAGCAAGATGGTGAACTGTATGGATAGCTTCACACAAGATCAGACCAGACTAGTCGTCATTGTCGATGGACTGGACAGCTGTGAGCAGGACAAGGTAAATAATATTTTTAACTTCTTGTTTCTGCTTTTGTTGTTCTTTACAAATAATCAAAATTTGTTAAAAACTGTTTTCAGGCCAGTTGCTTTATATGCATTAGAGAGATCCCAGGTTTACCCAATTGGCATTCCAATATAAACAAAGCTGTATGAAACAGGGGAAGACATGCCCTAAACCACAGACTTCATAACGGCCTGTGGCTTTCTCATCTAAAAAGCACTGGCAGGGACAATGAGAAGAAGAACAGGATGCTGGCTGCACATCTGTGCTAGGCCCTTATTTTACACAACCTGTTTAGAGAAGTTAGTCAAATAAAATGATAATTATTCCGCTTACTACCGTAGTGCTCATGAAAAACTTGATAAAATATATTGAAAATGAATCGCAACTAAACATGAACCACTTAGTAATGTGAGTGATGTTCAACCTCAATAGGACCACACATTGAGCGATAAACACCCGATAACACACAGTGCTACCATTTGGATGAGAATCGAAGGCACAAGTCTCAGAAACCCCTTTTAACCGTTAGGTTATATTAGGGCTCCTGATGACCGCTAGCAAAAAAAAATTGCATCCTGTATTGGATGGGATACATGACTTTGTCTTCTTCTTCTTTTTCTTCTTCTCCGTCTTCTTCTTTCTTCTTCTTCTTTTTCTTCTTCCTCTTCTAATCCTCCTCTCCTCCCCACTCCTCCTCCTTCTTCTTCTCCTCCTCTTCTTTCTTCTCCTTCTTACTCATCTTCCTTGTCTTCCTACTCCTCCTCCTTCCTCCTCCTCTTCTTCTTTGTATTAACTTTCTGTAAACTCTAGCAGAAAGTTCTGGCTGTTTGTCCACCTCTGGACTTGAGTCTTGTTCCAGGACCTGAGTGTTGCGTGCACATCTGTTTAACAGATCTGACTTAATTGTAGTCAGATTGTTGGTTCCTTGCCTCTCAGGCTCTCACAGTCTGACTTCGAAGGAAGCCCCAAATTAGTTGACATCATCAAGACATGCTTTTGGGGAGGCAGTGGATCTATTCTTGTTTTCCCCACAATGGGGCCCAGGAACTAGTACAGAGAACTTTGTAATGTATAAATAACTGAAACAAATCTGTTTTGCTACTTTCTTTAGCTTCCTTCGTATAAATCTGATCAACACACTATTTTCCTTAAATAAGAGGCTTCTAAAGCTGTAAATCACATTGTAGGGTGTAAAGACAGCTGTATTCTTTCAAACAGTCGCTAAATAACTCAACAGACCACAACAAATATAGTTTAAGTGTGAAAAACTAGCTAAATCTGAAGATTAGGTGCCTTCTTAATATCCTAACCCAAACAGGGAAAATCCACAGGTCACAGGACAGTCTAATATTTCAGGGGGTGGTTGATAGGCTGCATGCAGTCGTGGGACCTAGGCTACATGCGGTCGTGGGACCTAGGCTACATGCGGTCGTGGGACCTAGGCTGCACTCTCTTGTGGACGTAGGTCTGTAGGGTTAGGGCCAGTTCTACATATTTTTGGGTCGTTAAAAGCATCAGAAAGCCAGGAAACCCAGTCTTACCACTCTTGAAAATGTTGGACTTTCATGTGACGTCATCTGGAGTAGGATATTAGAAAAGAACCAAAGATTGCACTCCATGTTTGTGTACTAAACACAAGATAACAAGAAGGAATGTTAAGATTTTCCCAGTTCCTGTTGTCAAACTGGTCAGTTGTAAATTGAAAACAAGAATGTGTTAAGTTGTGATTGGCTCTCTTCTAGCAGTTATTAATGAACGTACGTTGCATTCTTGGTGATTAAAAGAGTGAAGAGAGTAGGATCTCCATTCAATTTTTTTTGGACCTAACAACTGATTATCATATTTGCTATCTCAATTACATTTACCTGGTATATTTTTGGAAAAATATACTTGATTGTTTTTATTTGTTTCAACAAAATAATGGTAGAATATTTGCACTGATTCTTAGGTGCTGCAAGTTCTTGATACGGTGAAGTCTCTGTTTTCTGATGACGGGGCCCCTTTTATCACAATCCTTGCTGTGGATCCCCACATAATTATCAAAGGTAGGTCCATATGCATGTGGTAAATAACTCTTTGAGGCCCGAGCAACGCTGTGTGTGTTGATTTAAAAGTTCTAATATACCCAAACAACATCATCTGCGTTGATCATGTATGCCGTGCATATTGAATCAGCTCCATATTCATTTCTAAAGTTTGGAACCACTATTCAAGTTTTCAGGAAAGGTCACTCTGACGTTTTTCTTTATATACAAGACTTTGTTCGCACATTTGAGTGCATAATGATCTGATTTATTGCTAGCGTCATTTCAGACAGTGCATTTTCTGATCGTGTTTGACGCCCACCAATACCTAGGTTCCGAACAGAAAAACAGGCTCAAATATTTTCTTTTCTGTGGCTGAAGCTATGAAATTGTTTCAGTCAGATGTTTTCTAATTCTGATAATGATAGTAAAAATGTAAATTTTTAAGAAAGTGATTCGAGCAGTGAATTTACGCTAGCGGTAGCTGTTCGTTCTGATGAGGTAAAAACCAGGAGGACCCATTTCATTTGTGAAGGATGTGATAGTCACCCATATTAGCATCCAAAAGACTGTTTCAGACCATACTATGACTAAGCTGCATTGAAATTATTGCAGCTACAGTCTGTAGATAACTACAGAGTTAATATTTTGTGTCTAGTTTTCTGCCATTTTTCTTTGAAATTTGTGCAGCACTCTATGAGAACCCAGAGCCTCTGAGTGATAAACTAAGAAGTGTATCATAACTTTTGAATTGGTTAGGAAACTGAACAAACTTTAAAGTGTTTTTCTCAAATTTGGATATTCACTGCTCTTGTGGCTGCAAAACTATGGTAAGTGAAGATTTTTTGGGGGTAAAATTTTGTCTATGTAAACATAACACTGCTGAATTCTTTTTTCCTACTAACTAAAACAGTATTAAACAAAAACATACGATCAGATTCAAAATGTACATTCATTCCTCTTTGAAAAAATATATGCTTGATTAGACATAAATTACATTCTTAATTTGCCATTTTTTTAAACACCATCCCCTCTGGAATTTTTTTAAAGGGAAATTTGCCAAGTCTGTCAAAATTCTTGGGATTGAGAAAGAATTAAATGGGTACCAGCAAAAGTCATGTGAAGTAAAGGTGGCCGGCTGACCACATACACCAAGTGCAGATTGGTCAGTATAAAATATAGGTCTAGCCATATATTCCAAATATACCCAAAGGCTTGGCAATGGGTCCTTTCCTTTACCTGTAAGAGGTGAGGTGGGGGTGGATCTATTCTCTGTTTACAGAAATGAAACCCCAGAATCCACATCGAGGAAAGCCTGCTTATCCAGTTTGTAAAAACTCTCCTCAGGCATAGAACAGAATCTGCGGACTTCTTTCCAGGACACAAATGTCAACGGGTTCGATTACCTGAGAAATGTGGTTCACCTGCCTTTCTACCTGCAGTCTCAAGGTATGCGTATCCAGCAGGCGGAGCCACCGCCAAATCTTCATGAGACCGGAGATGCTTCTCCTGCCAAGACTCAGAGGGTGGGTGACACATTTGAAACATTTAAGTGTTGTTATTGTTGCATATGGATCCTTTGAAATGCTCAATTTTTAACTCTTTACCTCTTTCTGTGTCAATTTGCTCAGTGTTAATTAGTTAGCCCTTAGGCAGTAAGTACACAAGACAATGTATCCAATTTTATAAAAAAGCGCCGCTGGAACTATATCGGCCATGCACTCAGAATGGATGAGACAAGACTCCCTTATCAAGCCCTCACATGGACACCGGAAGGGAACAGAAAACAGGGAAGACAAGAGAGACTCTGCGAAGAACCATCATCATAGAAGGCTCTTCTGTGGACCTAATGAACATCCGAGACCTAAATCAGGTGGCAACGAACCGCCAGACATGGAGAGCTTTGACCTCTGCCCTATGCGCCACCTTAGGCTCAAGAGGAAAGACTGACTAACTAACTAAGGCACATTTCTTACTTTTCATTTATAGCAGGTAGTTGAAACATTAACTCATTAATCTTAATTATTAGGTTTTCTCCTTCTACCCAAATTGTTATTTTTTAAACTTCTTTGGCAATAAACACAGGATATTTTAAACTAGAACTTTCCAAGATATAAGGAGTTAAAGTAATCTTAGGCTGGTACAGAAAGAGCTGGTGAGAATATTTGGTTCTATTTGTGCACGTTTTTTCTTTCCCTTCATAGAGCTTTCTGGTAAAAGTTTGTGTTGTATTTAGTTACTTTGCTATGTGCCTGCTTAAACTTTACATTCTTTTGAGATCATTTGCCAAATGTCGCTGTCGTCATCTTCTCTGTGAAAGAAACTCGGTGTTTCGCCAGCTTTCCCGTCTCACACACTTTCCTACCCAAGATTTTGCATATATCCTGCGGTCATCTTTGTGCTAGTCAACCCCCTGCCCCTCTTTCCTTCTGCTGCTATTGTCTTTAGATATTTTCTCCAGGTTATGCTGGTGTGTTGGGAAATGAGCAGGCAGAGAGACTGGCTGGCTCTGCAGCATTTGGTGGTGAATTGATGTATGACAAGTTAGATATTGTGAGGGTTCTTTGGGAACCAGTGAACAGTCTGGAGGCGCAGATAGATCATTACAGTCTGAGAAGAATGGTGCTGCGTGGAGTTACCAGGGGATCTGGCTGATGCTTAACACTCAGGGGAAGGATGAGATAGATATACAATCAGATGGTTACTGGCACTATCAGAATTGGAACTCCTCGCTTGCTGCTGAAAATGGGGACTGAGCACTTATGGGAGTGTCCCAAATGCTATGAGGTCGATTCTTAACTCAACATTCAACATGCTGCTGTTATTTCCACTCTGCCATGGCACTTGCGGTGACCAAAATATTTCAGCTTCTGAGACAAGATGCTTTTTTACTTCTTAACTTCCTTGTCGTTCAGATCTTTTCGGATGTTAGTATTTCCTTTCCTTCTCAATGCATGTCTAACTTTTATGAATTGCAAATTGATGCAGTTCTCTTACTCATTTCCAGCAAGACTCAGTTCTTACAAGTGTGAGCAGTGATACAAGACAGGGCCGGAAAGCCTCCAGAACGTTTGGCTCCACCCACGTCGTCGGGGGTAGTCTGTCTGGGTCGTTGCCTGGCATGATATATGCCAGTTCCTTCGACTTGTCCAGCACCCTGGCCAAGAACGATTACTTCAGCGACATCAATCCTCGCAGCATGCGCAGACTCATGAACATCGTGGCTGTTACAGGTGTGTTTTATGGTGCTGTCTTCATGTCTTGTCTTCTCTATGTGTCTCTTTTTCTTCTTCATTTCTGTATTTCTTCTCTTCGCTTCTTTTTTTCTTCTTAATTTCTCTATTTCTTCTCTTCACTTCTCTCTTTCTTCTTAATTTCTGTTTCTTCTGTTCATTTCTCTTTTTCTTCTTCATTTCTCCATATCTTCTGTTCATTTCTCTTCTTCTTCATTTCTCTATTTCTTCTGTTCATTTCTCTTTTTCTTTTTCCTCTTTCTTCTCCTGCTGCTTCTTCTTCTTCTTCTTCCTCCTCCTTCTTCTTTTTCTTCTTCTTTATATGCCTCTTTCTACCTCTTCCTTCTCCTCCCCCTACTTCCCATTATTCTTCTTTTTAATTCTCTTCCTTCTCCTCCTCCTTCTTCTCCTTCCTCTTCTTTCTCTTCTTCTGCTCCATTTTTATTTTTCTCTTTCTTTCCTCATTTGTATTCTCATTGTCATCATCTCCTCCTGCTTTTGTTCTTATTTTTCCTATTCTTCCTCCCCTCCTTCCTTATACGTGGCCACGCAGTCATGAAGGCTTAACACTCACACCCCAAGAATAGAATCTGCCATAGAACTGTCTTTATATTTAACCATTGAACACTTTTTCCACATATTTGTTTCAGCTCGTTTATTAAGAGCCTATAATATCGACTTCAAATGGCACAGACTTGCAGCCTGGATCAACTTGACTGAGCAGTGGCCTTACCGCCTGTCATGGATCATTTATTTTTTTGAAGAAGCAGAGTTTGTAGAGAACAGTGCTTCTCTGTACTCTCTGTACAAGCGGTAATCCTAGTTTCCAACCTTTTGATGTTTGGTTGCAGAAAGTGTTTGTCCCCTGCTGTAGCTACTGTTGGCACTACTACAGTTGTTACTACTGCTGCTACTAATACTGCTGCTGCTTTTAATACTACTACTGCTGTTGTTAATACTACTACTGCTGCTGTTAATACTACTGCTACTGCTGTTAATACTACTACTGCTGCTGTTAATACTACTACTGTTGTTAATACTACTACTACTGCTGTCAATACTACTACTACTGTTCTTAATTCTACTACTGCTGATGCTGTTAATACTACTACAGCTGCTGTTAATACTACTACAGCTGCTGTTAATACTACTACTGCTGATGCTGTCAATACTACTACAGCTTCTGTTAATACTACTATTGCTAATGCTGTTAATACTACTACTGCTGATGCTGTTAATACTACTACTGCTGCTGTTAATACTACTACTACTGCTGCTGTTAATACTACTACTGCTGCTGTCAAACTACTACTGCTGCTGTTAATACACTGCTACTGCTGTTAATACTACTACTACCGCTGTTGTTAATATTACTACTGTTGCTGGTAATACTACTGCTACTGCTGTTAATACTACTACTACTGCTGCTGGTAATACTACTGCTGCTGTTAATACTACTACTGCTGCTGTTAATACTATTGCTACTGCTGTTAATACTACTGCTGCTGCTGCTACTAATGCTACTGCCACTGCTATTAATACTGCTACGGCTAGTACTATGACTACTGCTTGCTAATAGCTACTACTGTGTTACTGCAGTTACTATTGTACCATTGTCACCACACTACTGCTGCCCTCTCTATTACTTCAAGTGCATTTTTTGTGGTGTTAATATTAATACTGCTACAGCTACAAGTAATCTCTGTTGTTAACTTACTCATAATTCCCATATTTCCCCAAGTATCTTCAGTTCTTTCGTAGTATTCTACCCCCAGATAATGTCACAGGACAGTTCAACATTTTAGAGGGTGGTAAGACTGGGTTTCCCAGTTTTCTGACGCTTTTAATGACCTAAGAACATCAAGAACTGGCCCTAACCCCAACCCACCTACATCCTATGAGACAGTGCAGCCTGGGTACCACGACTGCATGCAGCCTATCTACCTCCTTCTCCACCCACCCCCTCCCCCCATGACCTGTGAATTTCCCCTGTTTGGGGAATTATTTTAAGACAGTGCTGTATCTTTTTCTTCTTCTTCTTCTTTGCATTCAGTGGCTGTAAACTCTGGTGGAAAGCTCTGGTTGTTCATCCACTTCTGGACTTTAGTCTTGTTTCAGAACCCGAGCATTACAGGCACATCTGTTTTATAGATCTAGCTGTTTTGTACGCACACTGTTGTTTCCTTGCCACACAGGCAGGTGCTCTGCGACTTGGAAGGAAGCCCCCAGTTAGTCAACTTTTAAGACTTGCTTTTTTAGGGAGGCAGTGAGTCTCTTCTGGTTTTTCCCACAATGGCGTCCCGGAACTTACATGGGAATTCCCATGTATAATTTTCACTTATTTTCCACAAAATATAGTGTTTAAAAACTGTGCATCTTATACATTTGAATAAGATTTTTACCAAATGCTCTGTTAGAAAATATCCTGTATGGGGCCTCATTTCTGTATGCTAATTCAGGGGCAACAGAAAAATTATAAAATAAAAAGTTCTTTCCCACTATAACAGTTATTTCACTTGTGCTTCACGCTGATTGTTTCATACTTGTTATATTAGGAGTTCCTGTGTCCACTAAAATTCAACCACTTGGTGTCAGCATTAGTAAACCCATTAGAATTGCCTTGAGAGATGAATGGAACCAATTGATGAAGTTTTCAGTTAGACACCTGCAGGTAGTGTAAAAAAAAAAAAAAACTATAAGAGAAGTTTGTACCTGGGTGAAAAGATCCTTGGATAGTGTAAAAATTGCGATCGTTGTTACGTCATTCAAGAACTGGGATACGACATCGCAATATCTAGCATGAGAATGGAGGTGGAGGCGGTAACTGCAGCTCTCCGGTGGTTAGAGAACACGATGCATACACATGTCGTCATTGTAACAGACTCTGAAAGCATGTTGAGAAAGGTGAAGACAGGGATGCTTCAAGCAGAGTGGCAAGCTTCACTGTTAAGGTCACGGGTAGTGAGCATACTTTGGATGTTTTCTCCAGGCCATGCCGGCGTAGTGGGTAATGAACAGCACACAGATTGGGTGGTCAATTGATACATGACAAGGCAGATGTGGTCAAGGCCCTTTGGGAACAAGCAATTGAATTAGTAGAGAAACAAGATTATTATGGCTTGGAGAGAATGAGGCACCTGGGTGTAACCAGAGGGTCTGGCCGGCTCACTACACTCAGAGGAAAGGCAAGAAGGACATATAACCAGATTGTGACCGGTACCATCAGTATTGGAACTCTGCGCTGGCTGCTGAAGATGAGGACAGAGCACACATGGGAATGCCCCGAGTGCTGTGATGTCAATTCTTGACTCAACTCAAGAACTGGAGCATTTGAAAATGCCAGAGATGGAACTGAGGAAAATGGCAGTAAATGAAGACAGGCCCTAATTCCTTGTATGGTGTGACTCAAGGGCCACTTACTTTATAAAATGGGGGGGGGGGGGGGGGCTGCTGCGTGGTCTCGAGGCATAGTGTCAGCCTCGAGTACTAAAGGTTCTGGGTTCAACATTCCACCCCCCCCCCCCCCCCCCATGTAAGGGCTGATATTTTTTCTCGTGGACTTCTATTATTTCCCCTGGTCTCTAGGTAGTGAGATCGGACGCCTGTGTGCATTGTTGTGCATGTAAAAATCCCTTGGCAGTTGGAAATTGAAAAGAGTAGCCTAACAGTGCCGCCCTGGCAAAATGTAGAGTTAAAAATTTACCCAAAGTATTTCAGGATCCTCGCCAGTGCTACAGAGCCTGTGCACTGTGCTGAGCTTTTTCAGACTCAGACTTGAGTTAGAAGAAAGAATGGAGCACTGATGGGTTCCCGTGTGTCATGATGTTGATCCCTTGTTTAAACTTCAAACTTTACTTTAAGAAAGCCATAAACGCAGTCAACATCTATACTGCCCGTCACAAAAATATAACCAGCTATTTGAGAATTGTTAAACACATTCACTATTCGCTAAGCCACAAAGACACACAATTGTTGACCTTCTGTGTTCTGATTTTTAGCATCGCACCCAGGATCCCGGCCACTAAGGAGCAGGACCCATTGCTGGAGATAGACAGAAATGTCCGTAAGTTAGAAGCTAGCTTGACTTCGAAGTCTGGAAACTTTCCACTGCTGAATGTAGCAGATCTGAAGAAGTTTTTACCTTGCACCATCAACTTGGATCCTTATCTGCGGAAACTGATACGAGGTAGGTTGTGTCAGTAAATTCTTGATGTGTCTTTAATGTGATGTACATTTCACAAATTTCTTTTTTTTCCTCCTTTTCTTATCATCTTCTGCTCCTCTTCCTCCTCCACCCTATCCTCATCCTCCTTGCTTATCATGTCTTTTAATCTTTTCCAGCATTTGATATTTTAATGAAGTTTGTGTTATGTAATAATTTGTTACCCTGTTGTGTATAATTTCCACTTACCTAGTGGGTGTGTTCTTGCAATGATTATCAACTGAAAGGCATTTTTCAGTTCAAGAGTGCAGTTTTTCGCTGAGGATCATCACTGGAGCTATGGAATGTGTGCTTTGTGTAACACTCTCGTCAGACAGCTAGCCATTCTGCTGAGAGATAAGGAACCATATAAGATAAACCCAGTTTTTCATTGGAATGCCAATGGGCCACATCTGGAATCTCTCCATTGCATTATAGAGAGCTTGTCTTTAACACAGGTTCAGAATTCTCTGGTGTGCGACCACATGGGAACAGTTCTCAATCGCCAGTTTTGAATTTCTTGTACATATGGCTGCAGAGGCTGATGTCTCAAGTACACAGTCCAAATATAATTTTCGGCTATCATCCGAAAAACGGTTATAAATTATTGAGGCGGAAAATATACCCTAACAGGGCCTCAGTCACGTGTCAATTGCGCACTTCCGTCATCTTAAATTGTGCAGCGTGGAATGGGGCTAAACTAGATGGCTGAGACTCAAAAGCAGCAGCTACCGCATCTCCTGCAGCTTCCTTCATTTTATTTGCTCGTGAGTCCTAGCCATCTAGTTTAACACCGATCCATGCCGCGTGAGAAGCGTGGGGGATACTCTCGACGGTGGCGGAAGCTGCCGGAAGTTCGCAATTCGGCAGTGGCATTATAGTCTCCGGAAATGCGCAACTGACACGTGACTGAGGCCCTGTTAGGGTTTATTTTCCGGCTCGATAATTTAGGACTGTTATTCTGAGGATAGTGTCTTAGTTGAGGTTTCATCATCACTGCAATCAGGTTTACCCATACCGCTCCTGTGCCCGTGCAGATCAAATGAAATGTCCCTCACTGTCGCATTTAAAAAACTTGTGAACAAACAGTTAGTCCTGGAACAATCCAGAAATATGTGCAAGCAGCAAAGGCACATTTCAGTTTCCAGAGGCACCAACGCCAATAATCGCCGCCAGAAATGCAGTCAGTCATTGATGGAAGTAGTCAGGCATGACTAGTTGACCATACACACGTAGAATTACTACATAAGGTATTTCACTAGCTCACAAGTAAACTGGCTACCAGCTATATTTCATGTGAATATGTTCATTGGGTCTTCAGGATTGTTTCCTGAATGAGAAGTGTTCTAGTGGGTTCCAATAGCTGCCTTAATCTGAGTTTTATTTTGCTCATTAAAGCATCCTGCATCTGGATGTTCTGTATGACTTCCAGTGTCTAAGGAGAATGGCGCTGGGAGGAGTTACCAGGGGATCTGGCCGACGCTCAACATGAGACGGATATACAATCATATGGTTACTGGTACCATCGGAATTGGAACTCTTTGCTTGCTGCTGAAGATGGGTACTGAGCACTTATGGGAGTGTCCCGAGTGCTGTGATGTCGATTTTTAATTCAAAAAATTCAGTTCAGTGTCTGCTGAGCAGTCTGCTCTTTCATAGCTTGAACCCCATATCGGTATACATTTGTCAACATTAACCTGGCCTCAGAATCTAAAACAGTGTTTACCAGAATCTATTATGGGAAGTAAAGGTGGCTGTTCTGATGTTGATCACATCATTGGGTGCTGATTGGTCTATAAAAGTATAGGCCTAGCACTATATACCCAGTTAACCTGCCGGAATGTGGCGGGTAGACGCTCGCCTGCAGATCCGAAGGTCATGGATTCACGTTCTGACGGCGCCAGACTTTTATTTTCATAAATTACTTTTGGCTCCCAGGTCGACCCAGCCTAAAATAGGTACCAGGTAAGTTCCTGGGAAGTAAAAGGAGGCTGGCATGATGTTGACCACAACACCCACCGAGAGCTGATTGATCTATAAAATATAGGTCTTGCCCTATATACCCAATACACCGGAAGATGTGGAAAAGAGTCCTTTATTTTATCTTCTTCTTCTTCACTTCCTCTTTTACCGCTGTGGGTGTCGAGGGAGATATAAGGTTCTGTTTCTAGCTCTTCTGGCCGCCTCGACCATAGGCACATCGTGCTGTTGTATAGTTTCTCTGATGTTATCCTTCCATCTTGTTCTTGGTCTACCTCGTGCTCTACGTCCTTTTCTTTCCATGTATGCTTTGTATGGTATGGTGTCACAAGGCATTCTCTCTAAGTGGGCAAACCATTTCATTTGCTGTCTTTACTTTATGCTCAGTATTTACTTTGGAGTGAAAACAGGTCACTTTACTTTTACTATTCATTTGTTTTGTTTGTTTACAGGAGGAGAATTCTGAAGAGATATATACCTTATTTTTTGTGTATAACTTGCCGCTATGTATAATCACCCCTATTTTTCCCCCCGCCCAAAATTATGAAATAAATATTTTATACACATTTCAAGAACAAGAGAGACAACCACCAGTTTTAAATTTAAAAAAAATGTATTGTCTTATACACAGAAAAAAATCAAATCCTAATATATGGAAGTGAATCATGGATAGTTTAACGATTAGTGAACAATTATGTGAAATTGGCAGAGATGTTGTTTTAAGGAGATTGGTAAGAACACCATGGGCAGATAAAAAGAGTAATGAAGATGACTTGAGATAAATGACCACACATAGAGAACTGATTATCTACATCACAAGAAGATAATTAGATATTTTTTGGTCATGTCATGGAAAGAAGAAAACTGGACTACGTCACGACAGTGGAAAATAAAAATGGTTAACAAGCAGAGAGAGACTGATGGACAGTTTGGTGTCATGGCATGGACATGTTTGAAAGTAAAATAGACAGGAGGTCTACAGACATCAGCAGGATCAACAGAAAACAACATACAACAATTTTCTGTCTACATATAGGTAACTGCAGGCTCAACTATCACATGCATAAAATAAAGATTGTACAGTCTCCATAGTGTGCCTGTCAAACAGGACCATAAACATCTGAGCATAATCTGCAGAGCTACCCACTCTACCTACAACTTGGAAAAGACACCTGGCCTCAAGAGCAAAGTGTGCAGAGCAAGCTGTGGGAAACCATTGAGCACCTGCTACTGACATGAGAGTTTTTAGAGGCAACCCACCTGATGGTCTGATCTAAGCATATGAAACCAAATGCAAAGAAAAAGAAGAAGACTTATAGACATGAGTACACATGCCACACAACATGGACTATAAAAAGAAGAAGAAATTCAACTTTCAAGAAGAAGAGTGTTTTTAACATTTTTTTGTTTTATACCTCAGAAACCCAACACAACCTGGAACGCCACCAGGCAGAGATGGCTACACTCGGAGGTGTCTACCCTCCTCCTCCACCACCTCCTGCATCTGGGAACCTCATCAGAGATCATTCCCATGAGCGCCAAGGCCTGCTGTCATCGCCAGGCCGCTACAGCACCAACTTGCACCAGCACCAGCCATTGATTTATGGCATGTATGGGCCACAGCCCATGTATGGACCACAGCCCATGATGCCTTACTCTGGGGGCATGCCCAACCCTCACTTCATGCCCACAGTTCTGCAGGCCCAGCAGGCTATGATGACCCAGCAGCAGGCAATGATGACCCAGCAGCAGGGTGTAAACTTGCCAGTAGCTGTAGGAGGGACAGCAGGTCCGGCGCTGAAACATCCCAAAGATTTCTTTACTGTAAGTTTCACTTATGTTTCTGTCAGCTAATTTACTAACAGTGTTGATCTCATGTGATCAGAAAGAGTAGTCTGGATGGGCCATTGCCCAGGCAAATATTTCTAAATTAGTCTCTGTATTGGTTAAAATAAATCTCTCGAGAACTGCCTTATCCATCTCATGGGCACCGATTCACCCAGGGGACTTAACATCCAAGACGGTTTTATCTAATATCTTCCACTTATGGTATTTGTCACTCGCTGCTTTTACTGGCCAGTATTTATTTCTTGGTATTTCAGGTGTTAGTTTTCCAACTGGCCTGACAGAAATGTGATTTCTATCAGGGATACATCAGTTAAGTTTTTGTTTGTTTGTGTGAATTTGTGATATTGTAGACTTATGTAATGTGCTGTGAAGGATTTCTAGCTGCAGTGTTCTTTTGTTGTTTGCTTTTGTGATGTTGTGAAGCTGACTGATTCTACTTTTCCTCTGGTTTGACATCTTTTCATGGTTTTTCTTAATTAGGCAGCTGGAGTGGCCTAGTGGTTGAACTGTTTGCTTGCCAAGACAGTGAGTGGCCTTAGAACAGCCCTCAGCGGAGGCAAGATTTCAAAATATTCCTCAGCCCCAGTTTTTCTAATATTTATTTCTGGTTCTCTTTTTTTAAAATCCAAAATGGACTGTGAATGAAGAGTTCTTCTTCTGCCTTTCTAACTCCCAGTGGAGAATAGGCCTGCAACCAACTTATGCCAGGTCGTTCTATCCTTCGCGGTTGCCTGCAACTATCTACATGTCCTTCCCATCTTTTTAACTTCACTCTCTAACTCTCTTCTCCATGTGTTTTTTAGTCCCCCTTTATTTCTTTTCCCATATGGGTTCCAGTGCAAAGACATGCTGTTCTCAGGTTTTCTCAGTGTGTGTCCTGTCCACCGCCAGCGTCTTTTCTTCACCTCTTGGTCTACTGGAACATATTTATTTCTCTCCCAAAGCTCTACATTAGTGATTCTATCATACCATTTAGTTCCCTCTATTCTGTGCAGGCACCAGTTAATGAATGTTTGTAGTTTATCAGTAATTGCCTTAGTTGTACTACGTTTCTGCTACATACAGCAGTGCTGATTCGTAATGAAAATTAAAAATGAAGAGTTACTTAAAGAAAATAGTAATAATAAAAGAAAGACAGCTAAAATATTATGGCCAAATGAAAAGACATCACTCTTTTAAAAAACCACACTAAAGGGAAAGGTTGAGGACAGGAGAGCAACAGGTAGACAATGATACAGTGGGAGGACAGCATCAAGAGATGGATGAACAGCAGTCTAAGAGAGAGTTTACAGTTAAGATCAGAGACAGAGCATGTTGAAGATCCATTGCAACCAACCTTTATTGTGGAGATGGCACCTGCTTGATTGAATATGTCCAGATTTCAAAATTTATAATTTACGAAAAAATTACTTATTCATTGTTCAAATTTCTGCACAGTGCAGATCAAATATAACACCTGAATAAATTATTCTTATGTGTAATCTACATATGAGAAGTTAATTCATATTGTTGAATGTTACTTTAACCATTCTTCTTCTTGTCCTTCATTTGCCCATAAGAGGGTGGTTGGTACATTGTGTTGTAGTTTGTAGCTAGGCTGAAATTCTGGACCTTTAAGCCCAACACATCCAGGATCAGCGAACTTTTAATTAGATGCCTGTTATAACATGCTTGTTGGGGGAGGGGGCTTGGGGGGGGGGGCAAACCCCCACTCTATCGCCATGAGTCTCATGCCTCCTCGTAGCACAGTAGAACACTGTCATCTAAAAATACAGAAAGACGCCAATGAATTAAGGACTAGATCTTAAATCTTAGAAATATCTTATAATCGAAATTATGGTTCAGCATCTAACTTTTCGAGCCACCTCGCCCATAGATACACCATGCTGTTGTAGAACTTCTCTGGTGTTATCTTTTCTTCTTGTTCACCATAGATACAACATGCTGTTGTAGAACTTCTCTGATGTTATCTTTCCTTCTTGTTCACCATAGATACACCATGCTGTTGTAGAACTTCTTTGATGTTATCTTTCTTTCTTGTTCACCATAGATACAACATGCTGTTGTAGAACTTCTCTGATGTTATCTTTCCTTCTTGTTCACCATAGATACAACATGCTGTTGTAGAACTTCTTTGATGTTATCTTTCTTTCTTGTTCACCATAGATACAACATGCTGTTGTAGAACTTCTTTGATGTTATCTTTCCTTCTTGTTCACCATAGATACAACATGCTGTTGTAGAACTTCTGTGGTGTTATCTTTCCTTCTTGTTCACCATAGATACAACATGCTGTTGTAGAACTTCTCTGGTGTTATCTTTCCTTCTTGTTCACCATAGATACAACATGCTGTTGTAGAATTTCTCTGATGTTATCTTCTTGTTCACCATAGATACAACATGCTGTTGTAGAACTTCTCTGGTGTTATCTTTTCTTCTTGTTCACCATAGATACAACATGCTGTTGTAGAACTTCTCTGATGTTATCTTTCCTTCTTGTTCACCATAGATACACCATGCTGTTGTAGAACTTCTTTGATGTTATCTTTCTTTCTTGTTCACCATAGATACAACATGCTGTTGTAGAACTTCTCTGATGTTATCTTTCCTTCTTGTTCACCATAGATACAACATGCTGTTGTAGAACTTCTTTGATGTTATCTTTCTTTCTTGTTCACCATAGATACAACATGCTGTTGTAGAACTTCTTTGATGTTATCTTTCCTTCTTGTTCACCATAGATACAACATGCTGTTGTAGAACTTCTGTGGTGTTATCTTTCCTTCTTGTTCACCATAGATACAACATGCTGTTGTAGAACTTCTCTGGTGTTATCTTTCCTTCTTGTTCACCATAGATACAACATGCTGTTGTAGAATTTCTCTGATGTTATCTTCTTGTTCACCATAGATACAACATGCTGTTGTAGAATTTCTCTGATGTTATCTTCTTGTTCACCATAGATACAACATGCTGTTGTAGAATTTTTTTTACTGATGTTTTCTTTCCTTCTTGGTCTACATTGTGCTGTACATCCTTCTGTTCTTTAATTGTATGCCTTGTGTGGTATGGCATAACAAGGTGTTCTCTTTAAGTGGGTGAACCATTTGATTTGCTGTCTTTGTATACAATTTAGAATTAGTTCTGTGCCGTGGTGATTTTTTTTTCTCTCCTTTGACCTCATTCCTGATTGGATCTCTTCTGGTTGCTCCTGCAGCCCTTCTCAGACATCTTGTTTAGTAATGCTACAGAGAATACACTGAGATATAATATTGCAAGACTGAAAACCTGAAACTTAAACTTCGATACAGTGAGCTAATGTGGCAATTATCAGGTATAGAAAAATGCAAGAACATTATGTTGCCTAATGAGTGACCAAGAAACCCACACCCAATTGCTTGGTACCCATACAGTTAAGGTTATTTAAGGATTCAGATGCTCCTAACAATATTTTCCTGTTGTATCTGTAGTATTTCATCTCATGAGATAACGATCAATATGCCAGGCAATCAGTTTTGTAATGTATTCTTTGTGTCTGCATAATTTTGTTCTTCTTAGCGTTCACTGGCTGTACACTTGGGCAGAAAACTTCTTATTGTCGTCCCCTTCTGGACTTTTGGCCTTGTTCTAGAACTTGAGTTCTGCGTGCACATTCATTTTACAGATCTGGCTTATTTGTATACAAACATTTGGTTCCTAGCCTCTCTGGGGAATTCCCTTTAACTTTGAAGGAAACACCCCTTATTAGTCACCTCTTGCGACATGATTGTTAGAAGGGCAGTGCTTCTATTCTCCCTCAAACCCCCCCCCCCCCCCCCACCCACCTCACACACCCCCTCCCCCTCCAATGGGACCCCTAAATCCACATGGGAATCTGCATAATTTAAATTTAAATGTTTGTTAATGTGAATTTACGTTAATATTTGCAGGAATATACTCGACCAGTGATACTATCAAAATGCACGGTGGAGGATATCTGCAATTTATTGGTGCGGCTGAAAGGTCTGAGTCCCAGCTACATCAAGCAGTACCAGGCAAGCATCAGAGATAATAACATATCAGGTCTTGTTCTAACTATGTGTGACCTTGCTGAACTGCAACCGGTGATCAACATGCGGTTTGGAGACTGGCAGCTGTTCCGCAACGCCATAAATTCGTTGATCAACGCTGAGAGCCAGCAGACAACTTTGCAGGAGGAAAACATCAGTGACAAGGCAGACACTTCTTTGAATGTTCAAAACGTTCCCACTTCTCAGTCAAACACAGCGTCTAGTTACAGCGAAGCATTCTCCTCACCCAGCACACGTATAAACTGTGGCAGCAGAAGCTTGAGCTTGCAGGAGTCTGGGAGCGTAAGGTATACACCAGAACTGCGGAAGATAAGGGAGCGGAAAATGAGGAGAAACGACAGTATTGTGGAGCAGCTGACATATGAGACAGCCATCTTGAAATCAGCAGTGTCTGGGTTTGTGGAGGAGTCTGAAGATGAGGAAGAGTATGAGGAAGATGGACAGACGTCTGTCTTAGAACGTTTGGATGAACTTGAGGGTGAGAATGTTGGGGAAGATGTTGGTAGAAACAGTACACGTGGCATGTTTATGATTGGTGGCGATAGCCATCCTTCAAGCCCAGAAAGCAAAGCTCCTTCCCCAAGCAGTGTTGGGGTGACATTCACAGTCTCTGACAGCCATGAAGCTTTGAACCCTGTTGGGGATACTTCATCCTCCACACCACAGTCAGGAGCACTACCAAATGTTTATAGACCACAGCTTACCAGTAGTGGACCCGAACAGACACAGTCCGAAATATTATTGCCACCTGCCCCTCTTGCAAGAATGTTGCCTTCAAGCTACAAAGAATTCAAACAGCCTTTGTCTATGAACGACATTGCACAGTATATAACAGTTCTGGATGGACCCAAGAAAAGTAATGGCCCACAAGGTTCAGGAGAGTTTGTTCCATTGTTGGGCAGCATACAGCTACATCCATCACCCCCTAGTTCATCTGAGTTTGTACCTGTATCCAGGTACCCTTCCAGAGCACTAGGCCAACAGCTGAACATGCAGGTCTCTTCAGAACCAGATATTCCTGCATCTACATCTTCAGACATTTCAGCACTGCAGAGCATGTATTCTGTCTCTTCATCTCATGATCAGCACTTTCAGCCCTATCAGCAGTCTGTTACAGCAAGGACTGCCACCTCGGTACCTGACATAATTGGCCCCGGTTCTTCAGCTGTATTGCCGTATTCCTTCCACGAAACTTCCCCGCATTTATCCCGGGCATTAGCCATTGACAAATCAGACTCTGACACCACATCAGAGGGAGACCAGTCTTCTCCAGCAAAACGACCTCTGCAAGCTATTTCCACCAGTTTAGAACGGCTAGCCAGGCCCATCCTTGGACACTTCAGACAGCACTTCCAGCAAGGCTCAGTTGATGACGCCAGGAGAGGATCACTCACTGGGCACGTGGTGTCCTTTGATAGCGAGCCTCTGATTGAACTGGAGACACGAGTCCCCAGTGAGGATCTCCCTGAGCATGAAGATTTTGTCCAGCACTCTTACAGTACAATTGTGGAAATGTCAGCAGCCGCCCATGACCATGAGGGTAGTTCTGACTTCCATCATGATTTGGGAGAAGCATTTGCTATTATGGACCAGTTACCAGATAGCGAGCATAGCTCTCCCGATAGGGAAACTAATGTCTAGATAGTGGGTGTAATTAATGTACATAGCTCTCTAAGTAGGGAGACGGACATGTAGATTGTGGGTATAGTTAATGTACATAGCTCTCTAAGTAGGGAGACGGACATGTAGATTGTGGGTATAGTTAATGTATATACGTCTTGGCATAGGAAATCTAATGTATAGATCATGGGTTTAGTTTATGTATATAGCTCTTAGGGAAACTAACACATGGAATGGGGGTATAGTTAAGGTACATAGACCTTGTGATAGGAAAACTAACATGTAGATTATGATTGTGGTTAAGGTACATAGCTCTCATGATAAAACTAACATGTAGATTATGATTGTGGTTAAGGTACATAGCTCTCATGATAAAACTAACATGTAGATTATGATTGTGGTTAATATACGAGTACATAACTCTTGTGATAGGGAAACTAACATGTAGATTTTTAATGTGTTTAATATACGTAGCTCTCATGATAGGGAAACTAAAAAGTAGATTATGATTGTGTTTAAGGTACATAGCTTTCATGTTAGGGAAACTAACATGTAGATTATGATTGTGGTCAGTGTACATAGCTGTCCAACTAACATATAGATTGTGGGTAATGTAGATAACTGTCCTGATGGGTAAACTAACAGATAGGTTGTGGATTTAGTACCTAACTCTCTGGATAGGAAAACTAACATACAGATTGTAAAGTCAGTCAGTATAGAATCCTGATAAGAAAACTAACATAGATTGTGGGCATTGTTATTGAACATATCTCTCAGGCCAGGGAAACTGTATAGATTTGAAATCTTTTATAACAAAGGTATCTTTTATGTATAGATTTGATACCTTTTTATGGTAACATAAATTGTGGACCTGATTAACGAAAATAGCCTTATTGAAAGGAAAACTAATAACATGTATATTGTTGGCACAGTTATTAACCAAATGACTCCAGATAGGGAAATTAACAAATACATCGTGGACGATACATGAACATAATTCTCTTAACATAGATTGTTTTTCTGTTGGGAGCAAAAATAGTATGCTAACCTGCACAGTTTGTAGTGACTTCACTTACCATTTGTAGTGACTTCACTTGCCATGTGGCCCTAAATCCTCCTTACCTGCACAGTTTGTAGTGACTTCACTTAACATTTGTAGTGACTTCACTTGCCATGTGGCCCTAAATCCTCCTTACCTGCACAGTTTGTAGTGACTTCACTTACCATTTGTAGTGACTTCACTTGCCATGTGGCCCTAAATCCTCCTTACCTGCACAGAACTGCGGGTTACACCAGGCTAATGTACCCAGTATTGGTGCGCTGATAATAACTTTCTTGGAGGTTGAATGGCGTATACAGGCTTGCCAGGTTGGTCTGCCAACAGCACTGAGATTCATTAATCTCTGTCCTGTTGTTCTTCCATCTAAACTGAGATCATCCGATCTCAGGGTGTCAGATAGCAGCATGGAGAGGATAAACAGCATGCACGTGCTCCAAACTTGACATACCCCCCCCCCCCCAACTCTCCCTCCTCTTGTTTTATATGTCCCTTTAACTCTCTGTCCCAAGCAGTGCACCACTTGTGATCGGTTATTGCCCAAGCATATCGGCCAATGCGTGGCTTTTGATTTCATCTTTAACGTTTTGGTTGCAGTGCCTAAAGACACCTGGCTAGATATGTTGATATTCAGCACAGTGACAATATCATGTTTGTAAGAAACACACTCATACTCTTTATTTTAATTGTGCCTGATGTACCAGTTTGGAATATACTACAAATTCCTTTGGGACTGAAAACGAGTTAAAAGTTGTAAATACGGGCAGTGAAGATTTTTTTTTTTTTTTTTGCGGAAATATTTTCGGCATCATGTACATTTTGATTAAGTCTTTCTTCTTGTATGGCCTTGCTTGATCACTTGTTGATTGTCCACTCCACTTCACTCCACTGGCCGGTATATCTATGTATGTGCTTTATATTTGAATGTAATATACTGTTTATACTTGGTGATGTTATTAACTTCCATGTGTTGATTTATAACTAATTTAACTGTCCTCTGGTACCGAAGGGTTAATTTAACGGTTTATTTGTATTCCTACTTTTTACTGATGTTTTATATCCGATATATTCACGAAAGTCAAGCACATAAATTTGTATGTGTGTGCGAGTGAGTGTGTATTCAAGGGCCTTTGTAATATAATACATACATGTACATAAATCACACAGAGCATATGACTGAAAGAGAATACTTCTTCTTCTTCAGCATTCTAAGCCCTTGAGGTTAATTGCTGCAGATATCAGCCGCCTCCACTCATCTCTCTGGTTGGCCTTCTATTTCCAGTTGGTGAAACACAAGTGTTTGCAGGTCTGTCTGGACCTTATCTCTCCATGGTCTTCTTGGTCTGCCTCGTTGTCTACGACCATTCATCTCCCTTGTGTATACAGTTTTCACTTCTCTGTCATCTGACATTCTTTCAGTATGCCCCAACCATTGAAAGAGAATTATTTTAAAATACACATATTCTTCTCACAGTCCAGGGCTATTCAGCTGTTGGCCCATTGGCCAGATTTGACCTGTGAAAGTCTAGCAAGAGGCCTGCGGATCATTGCCAGTTGATTTGCTGGTGTGGCACAGTCGATAGGAGACTCACTTTCAGATCCAGCTGCGACTGGCTGCAGCCTACAGCTGGTGTTCAAAACTGGGCTTTAGGTGTTCACCCAGCCTCTAGGTAATGGGTACCAGAGTTAACACTCTGGGGTAAATTGAGGAACGATGCTGTAGCTACGGAGTTGTGTGCAGACAGCGACACAGGCGGAAATTTTTTTATCAGCTGTCCAAACTGGTGGCAGAGCACTTATGGTTTATAACCGTGTGCAATGACGCTGGTTCACATCTCCGGACTTTACCTTTATTGCATGAATGAGCTTTTTTGTGCATGGGCTTCATGCCCGTAGTGATCCCTTTTTGAAAAATGTTGGCCCCTGAGTAAACTTAGTTGAATAGCTCTGCTATAATACATGCGGTATGGTATTGGTAGTCATGTTGATCCATAGCCTTCTGTCACAGATGCTTTTAGTCAGTTCTAACCCAGATGATCTTCCATGCCATGATGTCAGACTGTCTAGAATTTTCTATCTCTGTCTCCCTCTGCCTCTCTTTCCCTTCAATTTTCCCCACTGTCATGATGTAGTCCAGTTTTTCTCCTTCTCATTGTGTGACCAAAGAATGTAAAGTTGTCTCTTTCTGGTGTGAGCAATCACTTCTCTTTGTAGGTCAGCTTCTTTCAAGACATTGTCATAGCTATTTTTATCATATAACATGACATAAAGTTTAGGCTATCTCTCCTTCTTCTTCTCTTCCTCAAGCTGCCTGTTTAAGTGTTGGAGGAAGATAATTTGGATCTTTTGTGTGCTTCTTCTAATGCATTTGAGTGGATATTTATAGATCTTTGTGTGCTCCTTCTAATGCATTTGAGTGGAAGATCTATGGATCTTTGTGTGCTCCTTCTAATGCATTTGAGTGGAAGATCTATGGATCTTTGTGTGTTCCTTTTAATGCATTTGAGTGAAAGATCTATGGATCTTTGTGTGCTCCTTCTAATGCATTTGAGTGGAAGATCTATGGATCTTTTTGTGCTCCCTCTAATGCATTTGAGTAGAAGTTCTATGGATCTTTGTGTGCTCCTTCTACTGCATTTGTGGAAGATCTATGGATCTTTGTGTGCTCCTTCTAATGCATTTGAGTGGAAGATCTATGGATCTTTGTGTGCTCCTTCTAATGCACTGTGTTGGGGTAAGATATATGGATCTTTGTGTGCTCCTTCTAATGCACTGTGGTGGGGTAAGATCTATGGATCTTTGTGTGCTCCCTCTAATGCATTTGAGTGCCTCTTCTGATTCACTGTGTTGGGGGAAGATATTCAGATCCTTGAGTACTCCTTCTAGTGCACTGTGTTGGGGAAGATATATAGATCTTTCAATACTCCTTCTGATGCACTGTGTTGGGGAAGATATATAGATCTTTCAATACTCCTTCTGATGCACTGTGTTGGGGAAGATATATAGATCTTTCAATACTCCTTCTGATGCACTGTGTTGGGGAAGATATATAGATCTTTCAATACTCCTTCTGATGCACTGTGTTGGGGAAGATATATAGATCTTTCAATACTCCTTCTGATGCACTGTGTTGGGGAAGATATATAGATCTTTCAATACTCCTTCTGATGCACTGTGTTGGGGAAGATATATAGATCTTTGAGTTCTCCTTTTAATGCACTGTGTTTTTACACATTTTTGTAGGCCATTTGCCACTTGTTGGGTTATGTGGTCAACATGGATGTTGACTAGAAAAAAGCCCTTGTGAGATGTGTTAAATGCATATTTGCCTACATAGAGGCTGTGTGAGTGGGTGTACCTATGGCTGTGTGTGTATGTGTCAATATATTTATAACACAATTCCCAAGATATTATACAATTTACAATATATATCATTCTTTGCACAACACCGAAAACTCAATGTTTCCTTGAGTTTTTTAATCTTGAACTTTTCCAGTTTGTGTAACTGAGTTTGTTTCTTTCGTGATTTTTAAAATTTTATTTTTAAATTGTTCACATTTATTAATGCCACCTTTTGCCTTTGTTCATATTTAGTTCTGTTTATTGTGATTTCTTAAAGTTGGCCATCTTCATGTGCTCTAAATGTTCCTTTAAAAAATTGCATTGAATGTTGCTTCCCAGTGATCACGTAAGTTTCAAATGAAGACAGTTAAACACAGTGGAAAGAGATTTAAAATAAATAAACTCTACAACAGTAGAGTGTTCTTTATGTGATTTTCTCAGTGGCTCAACTCGGTCCCATGCAACATGTGATGTCTAATAAAGTTTTCCACATGAAACCCAACCAGCGTGTAATGTGTTCACCTCCATTTTACTTTAAGGCAGTTACACTAAAGAAATCTGGCTACCCCATTGATTACTCCTGCTGTGTAATTGGCCTTTTTGAAAGTTATGCATTCGTGAC